GAATTTGGGGAGGAGAATGTTTGAATGTCCTGTTTTATTTCAAGTTTTTATGTGGTTAGGTTCTCAGCTTTCTGTTTTGTATGGTGACGTGAATGGGAAGTTCTTTACTATTAATATGATCAAACAATGTGTATTAGAAGGTGCATCACGGTTGTTGTTGTTTCCAATGGAAGAAAAGGTGACTGATTCACTCAATTTGGGTCAAGAATGACGAAGTTTGAAGGGTAATGGTGTTGAGGAAATTAAACTTGAGGAGCCAATTGAACAAAGTAATGAACCAGTTGAAACAGTCGATGAAAATATTGGTGTTGGGGTGATATTTGTATCCCAAGCAGCAGCAGCAGTTGCAGCATTGTATGAACGGAATTTCCTTGAAGAAAAACTAAATCATTTACGGGCTTCCCAACCTCTTTCAAGATACCAGCGGTTAGTTACCATTTTCAGTTCATTGTCTTCAGACAATCTTCCAAATATTGTTTTCTCCAAGGTTCTTATAACCCTGTCATGCTCTCTTCTTCACTCTTTTCATTTTGCTGTATTGTTTGCGGTTCAAAATTGTTTTTCTTTATTACTATTTTTTTTATTGTAATGATGTCTCCTAGTTTTATTGTAAGAAGATTCAAAACTATGACCTAACATGAGACCCTAGAGTTATGGAATACAAGGCTTAGTTTGTTGTTGTTGTTGTTGCTGTTTATGTCTCTTAGTTTGATATTACCACTGAACTGAAATATATTCAGTTAATAACAAAAAGGTCATTGCCTCAGAATTGCTACATTTAGTTGGCATAATTGATGCTGACATGACTAATAGAGGTCTCCTTGACGTGTAGGATGGCTGAGCATGCTTATGTTTCAGAGATAGCTGATGCGGAGCAGAAGAAACGCCCTAACTATAGACCTATAATTGACCATGATGGGCTTCCTCGGCAGGCATCATCTAACGAGGTACAACTTCATCTATTTGCCAAATGTTTTCAGCTGCACCTGGCTTTGGAATTTGAAGCTATGCTGTAAGAATCTGGCTATTTTGATGTTACCATGGCATAAGGCTGAGAGCTGTGATACAAGTTTACATTACCTGGCTATGTGGACTTAGGTCCTGGAATTGAAACATTATGTCAACCTATTTTCATAAAGCATTCTGTTAAACTTGATTGACATAATAATTTTTCTCTTGAGATGGATAAGGGTTTTGAAGTTATGACCATAAAGAGCTGAAGTAGAACAGAGTTAATGACTGCTATTTGACTCAGAGCATATAGTGCATAATCTATATCACTAGTATGCTGCTTAGCATCTTTCTCTTTATTCTACTTGTTTCCTTACAATTCTTTTTCTGTTTATACAAGGAAATAAGTAGGACTAAAACAAGAGAGGAGATATTGGCTGAAGAAAGAGACTACAAAAGACGAAGGATGTCTTATCGTGGGAAGAAACTGAAGTGGACATCATTACAGGTGTGAAGTCTACTTTTGAGGTGTGATTGCCTTATCGGGATTCTGCTCTCTTGTTCGTTATATTATATTTGCTAACTGATGCTTCAACTACGAATGCTGATTTCTTTTTATTCCTTTACTTTTTTTTCGAAAAAAGAAACTTTCAACCCAGGATAGACTGTGAGAAGCCTACATACCTGCTAAGGGAGTGAAGAAATTTCCATTTATAATATCTTTTTCATTGTGCATGTCATGTAGTTCTAAAATGTTTCCTCAAATTATATACCTTGGTGAAGGAGGGTAACTTTTAGGAATCATTACTAACAAGACATTTAAATTCAGTTAATTTAGTCAGTTAATTTGCAAGGTTGTTATACTTCTCATGTAGTGCTTTAAGTTATTTCAATTTTTTTATAGGTTATGAGGGATATAATAGAGGAATACACTGACGAAATAAAAAAAGCAGGGGGTATTGGTTGCTTTGTCAAAGGAGTGGAAGAAGAAGGGTTGCTACCATCTAAATCACCAGTTACTTATGATCGTGCTGTGGATGCTGATGAGCAAAGAAAAAGTACCAGTGACATTTCTGAAGCAGCTAGAGGTAGCCCAAACCATTACAAGAGAGGATCACACTATGACCAGCTTAGTAGATCTACAAGATTTGAGGATTACTTGCGGAATGATTTTGAGCAATCAAGATGGCATGAGCTCCGTGATCTCCTTGAAATCTAAGGAGAAGCATAGTTAAAGAGAAACATAGAGAAGAGCATCATTCTGGAATCTCAAAAAGACACAGAAGTCATGGGCGATCAGATGAGTGAAAAAGTTATAGAAGGGAACATGATGATGCAGAATCCACTAGAGCCACACACTATGAGAGTGGAAGTTAGGGTTGGCATTGGGTCGGGTTCGGGGCGGGTTTTGCTCGCCCCGAACCCGACTCGACTTTATCATCAATAAACCCGGCCCCCGACCCAACCCGAAATTTTTTTATTTTTTCATACCCGACCCGAACCCGATATTATATAATCAGTACCCGACCCGACCCGAAATTAATAAAAATATTATTTTTTAAATATAAATATTTAAAAATATCATTATATAAATATATATATAAATAAATAATTAAAAAATTAATTAAAAAATAATTTTTTAAATAATATCGGGTCGGGTATGCCTAAAACCCGACCCCGATTATTTTCTAACATTACCCGACCCGACCCGAAACCCGAAATTCAAAAAAAAAAAAACCGACCTCATAGGGTTGGGTCGGGTCGGAACCCGCCGGGGTCGGGTTGAATTCCCATCCCTAGTGGAAGTCGATACAGTGTTTCTAAATATAAGGATTACAAATCATCTTATTCTGTTTCTAATACTTCAGATGACTTTCATGTAAGAAAGGATGATCAGAAGTTGGACAGTAGAGACAGGAACCGAAGGAGTTCTTATGAGAATCATACATCAGGTTCCAGGGCACAAAATGGATTTGATGATGGATATAACCCTTCAGAATCTGTTGACATGTATGAAGACGATGTCTTTGTTGGTAGCAAGTATGTCAGACCAGAATGATATCATGGATGTGCCAGCAGATATTCTGCAAATGAACTATATCCTTATTCCTTGACTAGGTTCCTTTTTTGGGATGAGTTTATAAGCTATTATCCTTTAGATCAGATCTGGTGATTTTATTTATATAAAGTGTTGTTTTTGACATGGTTACTTTAATAACTTTGCACTTTGCGGTAAGAAGTCATCAGGCTTCAGCATTATCTCAATCTGTATCCTCCTTTGTATCCTTTATTTTATATTTTTTCTGTTTTTCCTGCTGGCTCTTTTTGATTTTGACATTTGCTTCTTGATTTTTCCCATTCTGAACCAATGTAACAAAGGAGACCTAGTGTTGGCATCTTCATTTTCGGTATCCGTTTTCTTCAGGACGTTACAATCTTCATTATCACGAGTTATGTCATCATGGAACTTTCATGAGAGCCATTAAGAGCATATTAACGTCTTTATCCATATCCTAATTTTCTTGGGATCATTATAGGTTGCTATTTATTTATCTAAAGTTTGTGTATTACTTTTTCTAAAGAAATCTCAGAATGGAGAGAAATTAATATGGGAAAAATACTGAGAACATTTTTTTTTTTTAATATTAAAGTGTGTCTATCTGATGACTCTATTCATGCCTCGTTTTAACATGAAGATTGGCTATGATTTAGATCTTTGTTCCCGCTCTTGTCTTTCTTTACTAGCAGGTTAATGAAACTTAAAATATTCTATGTTATGGTCAATTTCGCATTTTCTGCTATACTTTCAGGATGTTGCAGTTGGCATATTATACCTAACCACTTCAGGTTGCAATCAATGTTGGTATGCTCTGAATTTATTTTATGCACTTTCTATGATTGAGATCTTTATTTTCTGTTGTTTTAAGGTTGAAACTTATTAAAATGTCTAATGGTAAGCATACATATGTAAAAGGTTGCCAAAAGGAGAAGGTGGAAAATCCTTTGGCTAATGCAGAAACACTTGCAGTCTCTATCTTCTTGTACATTAATTGAAGATTTTACAGGTTTGATATGGTATCTTATAGCTTCAAACTACCCCTGCCAAAATTCTCTGGCAAGCATTTCCATGTCATCTTCATTGTTGTCATCGTCGTCGATATTGTTGATATCACTGTAATCATTAATGTTGTGATGTTTTCATGCATATTCTTGCTGCTTTTCATCTATATCTCTGTTTGTACAGGTTGCCTTCTTGATTTCAATCTCCTTACAGCTCTTGTTCATAATTGTAGATGGCAAGGGATGGACTTTTGGCAACAGGTTTGATCGGCCCTATACTTACTGCAGATTTTGCTGGAGGAAAGTGTGTGGAGTTTTACTATAATTTTTTTTTTTAAATTTGAGAGTGAAAATTATAGTTGTATAATCAATTAATCAGACTTTACTTCTAAAAAGGTTTGATAAATGTAATGACTTCATTATCTCCAAAATTCAACACGTTTCTCTTGCCAATAAGAACTTATGATAGAAGTCATTCTAACATAATATTGACTGTTGAGCCCCACTTCAGTCCTTGGTATGATGATATTTTGTACAGGTTGCCTTCTTGATTTCAATCTACTTACAGCTCATGTTCATATTTTTAGATGGCAAGGGATGGACTCTTGGCAACAGGTGTGATCGGCCCTATACTTGCTGCAGATTTTGCTGGAGGAAAGTGTGTGGAATTTTACTATAATTTTTTTTTTTGAGAGTGAAAATTATAGTTGTATAATCAATTAATCAGACTTTACTTCTAAAAAGGTTTAATAAATGTAGTGATTTCATTATCCCCAAAATTCAACACGTTTCTAAAATGGTTTGATCGGCCTTATACTTACTGCAGATTTTGCTGGAGGAAAGTGTGTGGAATTTGACTATTATTTTTTTTTTTTAATTTGAGGGTGAAAATTAAAAATTTAGTTCCTTTTTTCTTTCCAAGAAGCAAGAACCTGTCTTTTTTTAATCGCCAAAATAGAGGAAAGTGCAGAGCAAACTAGAAACAACATATAAGAAAATCCATTCAATCAACTCGATTTTCAATATTTTCTTTTACATTCTCTTCCTAGACACATTGCAACTTTGTTTCTGTTCATTGGGTATCAAAATCTTGTTGTTTCTATTCCTAAAGTACCCGTTTTTTTTTTTAATGGCTGAAAAAGAGGAGTCAGAGGCAACTGGGGAAGAAACAGAGTTAAAGAAAGAACTGCAAAGGGTGGTGAAGATGATTCTTGAAGAAGATGGTTATGGAATTAAGATTACGATTGAAGCTATGAGAATCTTGTCCCGTTTAGCAGAATTGATGTTAAAGAAACATCTTGGTCTTGGAATGGACGATACGGTTTTACTTGAGAAATTCAAGTGCCCTCTTTCGGGTGAAATCATGGGTGATCCTGTAGTTTTGGCTTCAGGCCAGGTTAGACTTTAAAGCTTGAATCTTTTTTCTTTGTCCCTGTATTAGTAAATTGGTTTTCTTTATCATGCTTTAGACTGTTTGGATTTTGGTTGGTTTGTTGCATATTAAGGTTTTTGTCTGCTACTAATTCTTTCTTTAATGCTTTTTAATTTTCTTTTATTATTTCATTGATTCTTTTATCATTTCATGCATGTAAAGCCAAATTCAATTTCTTTTTTAATGTGATCTACCCTTGTAGTTGGTCCTCGTTTTAGTTCCAGGCATAGGGAAACAACTGGCAAAGGTTCCATGTTTATTAAAATTGACCTTTACAATAGAGTTATGACAGAAATTTGTTACAATGGAAGTAAACTGTTTTATCTTGCTTATGCCTATGTGTTCTGTGTCTGTATATGTGGTGTGTTTCTCTTTTTTGAAATTGAGCAATTTGAAAGAAATCCCACGGTAACTTTGCAAACCTGATAGGTTGAAGCTCCAAGATTTTCAAATATGAAGCTATCCTCAGTTAGTTTCAGTTGGAAATGAATCTGGTGTGTGGCAGATATCCATGATTTTAATGAGGTTAAACTTCTCTAAAAAAGCTGTTTCTTGTCTGGTTAAATATCAATAGGTAGAGGGGCATTACTCTCAATCATATTGGTACATTACTGAATCTGCTAATAGCACACTGAGGGTTTTGTTTCTTCTTAATCATCTGCATTGACGGTATCTTCTCAATTTTCAGACTTACGATAGGCCACACATTCAGAAGTGGTTGAAGGAAGGTAACCTAACATGCCCTCTATTGAAACAAGTGCTCTCCCACTCTATCCTGACCCCTAACTGCTTGGTTCGGGAATTGATTTCACACTGGTGCAAAAAAAGTGGCATTGCACTACCAAAATCCTATCAGGATATTGATGGAGAAACGATGACTGAGGTAGACCGAATGCACTTAAACTCATTGCTTGAAAAGATGTCTTCTTCCCTTTCTGATCAGAAGGAAGCTGCTAAAGAGCTTCGGAGACTAACAAAGACAACACCATCATATAGGGCATCTTTTTGTGTGTTTACTAAAGCCATCTCTAGATTGCTCAGTCCACTATCAGAAACCAAGGTTGAGTCAGATCCTGATCTCCAGGAGGATTTGATCACTACTGTTTTAAACCTTTCAATTCATGACAACAATAAGAAACCAGTAGCGGAAAATCCAGTTGTCATCCCTCTGCTTACTGAATCTTTGAAGTTTGGAACCATTGAAACAAGAAGAAATGCTGCAGCAGCTCTCTTCACATTATCAGCACTTGATTCAAACAAGTTCGTCATTGGAAATTCTGGTGCTCTTGCTCCTCTACTTCAACTCTTATGTGAAGGGCATCCATTGGCAATGAAGGATGCTGCCTCAGCAATATTCAACCTTTGTCTTGTATATGAGAATAAAGCAAAATTCAATGAAATAGGGGCAGTGAAGGTAACCCTGCAGAAGATCAAGGATGGCATACTTGTTGATGAGCTGTTGAGCATTCTTGCACTGCTATCTGCACATCACAAGGCTATTGATGAACTCGGGGATCTTGATACCCTGCACTGCTTGCTTCAGATCATAAGAGATAGCAGTTCCGATGGTACAAAGGAGAACTGTGTTGCAATCCTGTACAATGTGTGTTTAAATGATCTGACTTTGCTGATGGTGATCAGGGCAGAAGAAATTGAAAAACATACTCTAGCTGAACTTGCTGATACAGGGACTAAAAGGGCCAGAAGGAAGGCCAGTGGCATCATCGAGAAAATACATAAAGCTTTTCCAACCATGCATACAACTTGAGGAAATAAACCCAAAGGGAAGTCATTTTGTACCTGTATCCAGTCATTGTCTAAACAATAGTTCTGTGTTTTGCATTGCTTAGGTGGTCCTTGAAAACACTAGTGAGAAGGAGCCATTCTTGATAATTTAAGAGCAAATTCATATTCTAAAAGTTGATGCTCTAAGTATGCCTTTATGATTATGAAACGCTACTGGTCAAGAAGCAAGGCATGAGTCCTCAATTGAATCAATTCAGGATATTCAACTTAATTACATTCCATGCTCTTATGCATTTTATAAAAGATAGCATCCGTATATTAAGAAAGGTTTAAATTCTTAAGCATCTGCACAACTCATACGCTACTGTTGTCTTTAGATTAATGAACCTTCTTTACATAAAAAATAAAGAACCTTATTACCTGCTCAAAGATCGCATTTCTTGTGATAATGAAAGCCCAAAATTAATGGACCTTCCTTTAGAAATCCACTACCTGAGACGCTTTTATATCAGACGCATTAGACCTCCTCTAAATGGACTTTTATAAAGCATCAGATTGGATTTGTTTCCAACACTTCTCTGAAAGCAGACAAAACCTGGAAAGCAAAAGCCCAGAAAGGAGTTTTTTTTTCTCCATTATTTTTCTCTTTTGTCTAGGAAGCCAACAAATCGGTGACACCAGAAATTGTATCAAAATGGTTAAAAATACAGTCAAACAAGAGGGACAGATGCCTTGCTTGCTTTCACCCCGTAAATCAGCAGCCACCAGAAAACTCAAATGTTCTACTTTGATTGTCAATCCAATCCAGAAAGTTTATGATCACGGCTCCGAATGACAGTAACTAATAACATTAGCTCAAGATGGAAACATAGCAGACTACTCATATGATCTCTCAAATAATTCTCAAGAGCCACCTTAACTATCAACATCTGAATTTCCTAAGGATGTGACATGTGCTTTCCTGAAGATGATAGAGGCTATTGACAATATTCCTTTTCATCACTATCAGAACACCTTTTGAAACCTTTAAAACTGCACCTCCAACGAAATATGGATAACCTCGACTATAAAGAGGACATAAGAAAATAGTAGGATATTTTTTCTTTTTGCAATTGTAATGCATGCCTCACTTTTAATGTTCTAATAATGCCATTATACATCTTAATTTGGATTGTTTTCTTTATATATGAGTTTCTTTATTTTCTTACTCTTCTTATTTTCTTTTATTATAATTATAAATTCAATTAATAAAGTCACTTCCCACAATTGCTAAGTTAGTACACGTTTGATTATCATATCATATTACAATGGAAGAGGGTTGACATCTAAAATTTTCACTACAAAGCAAGCTCATCCTGACCAAGAAAATACTCATCCAACTATCTTCATTAACATCCTATTAAAACATCACTTTATAATAAATTAATTAATCTTTAAATAAGATCATTAAATACAGCTCACATTTACTTACATGATTCTTTCTCAAGCTTTGCATAAATTTATCATTAAGTGTCAATTCCTTTGATTACATCATGTCCTTCCTCTCATACATAAGATTAAAAAAAAAACCCTAGGTACAAATAAATAGAGAATTCTTCTCTTTTAAGCTTCCTAAACATTCTTAACAATTTAACTTTAAATATTTGATTAACTTGAATGTTAAAAGCGCATCTCGAAAAATCAACTTTGCTTAATCATGTTTTTTTATCGTAAATTCAAATCATCTTTCATATAACCTCCAAATCACTAGTCATCCCACCAACACCCAATACACCTTCAACATCTCTCAACACTGCTTGCTTTCTGATTGAACTTTTTCTTAGAGCGCATTTGGTTCGCAGAATCATAGATTTTGAAGAAAAGTAAAATCTTCGAAAAAATGTGATACTTGAGATTTTTTTTCATTTTCAAGGTATCCCGCTTTTAGATTCACTCGTTTGGTTGGGGGAATCCACAAACATTAAATTCTGAATAATTATTGTAATCTCCTCAAAATAATAACTATAATCTCTAATTTTTATTAGGGGATTATTAAAGGTATTTTTTATCAAAAATACTTTGAGTAATACCTTCCAATTTTTTAAAATGAATTATTCAAGAGGTATTACATATTATTATATTATATTGTGTTTCTTCATAATTACTTTTATTTTTATATTGACAATTTTTTTTCTGTTCAATTTAGGGGAATGTCTGTAGTTGTAAGAAAGCAAAAGTAAAATATGTGTCATTATCGATAAATGTGAAATTTATTCTTTTATGCTAAGTTTATTTAGATAAATGTTTCCTAAACCTACTTTATTTTTTAGGTATCTGATCAATCATGATATACTGAATGTGGATATTATATTCTTAGTTTTATGAGAGAAATAATTTTATATGATTTTATAACTACACAATTCAATGTTAGTATTAATTCCGTACAATACTAATATCTTCCAATAAAAAAGGCTGAATTATGTTATCGTTTATTAACATTTACTTTTGATTTTTTTTTTATAATGGAAAAGTAAATGAAGCTTCACGAAAGATGAACTTGATGAAATCTGTAAAGAGTGGTCTAATTATATATTATTGTTCGCTACACCTTTGAGATTAGAGAATATTGGTTAGGTGTAAATGTACGCATTATATTGTTTATAATGTTTTTAACATGCCATGTTGAATGAATAATTTTTAATTTTCGATTGGGGTATTTGTTTAATATTATAAGTATATATTTATTTTATATCAATTGGTTGCTTATATAAATACACATATATTGAATACGATTATTTGAAAAAAATATTTTTATATGACAACGTTATCAGTTATAAATTCGGAATGTGTGACATAATATTGAAGTACTATAATATTAGTAATTTAAATTTCAAAATGTAATTATAGTTTCACAAATATGTATTTGATTCACACAAGTAGGAATCCAATATAAATAAACCCATGTTTAACAACAAAGCAATGATTTGCATATTTATAACCTTCCATTTCTTGCCTTAATTAAATAAAAAGGTTTCCAAAATTATACAACAAATCTATAAACAACATGTAGTGCGATCTACATGTGTCTAAGATGAAGAAAGTCAAACAATGGGCGATATGCATTACATTTGTTTAATTGTTTCCTAATATAATTACTTCTAAATATAGCTGGCATCGTAAAGAAAAACTCAACTTTATAATTTTCTGTCATCATATACTTGTTGGGCTAAAAGCCTCAAATCCAATCACACCAGCGGAAGCGAAATCAAACAATAAATCAAACACACAAGAGACAATAATTTAACGTGGTTCGGTCCAACTGACCCTACATCCACGGATGAGAAACAAGATCCACTAGTTGTAGAGAATTACAAACATACATCAAATCATCAACCTCACTCAATAATCAATACTCATAAGACACTCTCAATTTTCTTTAGTCCTATGAAGTATTCTCTACCCAAACAAACTCAAACTCTTGTGCACCCTTTCAACACAACCAAACACATACCCATATGTTCCCATACATCATACCTATGTGGACCCTCTCAATCTCCTCTAGTCCACTCACAAACAAACATACATACCTATAAGACGTAAAGCTCCAATACTCCTATGTGGTGTCTGTCCCACAAAACCCTACAACTCTCTTACATCTTTTTCTCATACCTAACCCTGTAGAGACTTCACCTATTTATAACCATACAAACTTGCCCATTAAAAATCCCTCTCCTCTTAGAAAAGTCAAACTTGCTTATTAAGAATCCATTTTCCTTTTAGAATTCTTCTCTTGCAAGTCAAACTTACCTTTTAAGAATCCTCTTTCTCTTGGAATTCTTTTTTTGCAAGTCTTCTTGTCCATTAAACAATATCTGACAAATCTCAAACAAATCTCTTATGGGATTTGAGTCAATATTCCCAACAATACTCAATAGTGACAAATATTTCATCAGTCGTGAATTCGTTGAATTGCATTATTTTATTGAAAAGTAACCTTTTTTTATCCTTATGCTCCACTTTTGTCTTAAAATAAACTAAAATGTTTTTTATAACATTCATAACTCGATCATATGAAGCACCAATATTACCAATTTGATGCACCAACCCAACAATTGCTCCATCATCACTCCTAGCATGCTTTTTACCTGACAATGTTGTCTTAGTGTTATTCGAAGCTGCAGATACAATGTTGTCTTCATCATCTTCTCTCTCCTCATTTCCTTTGACATTAATATCAAAATCAGGAGAAAAGTATCTTCATTAGTATTTAATGATTCAATTGCATCGATTGTTGTTTTAGCTCATTGACTAGTTATTTTATTATATCCGAATATCACTTTAAAATCATCAAAAAATAAAAAAGGTTTGTTCCTTAACCTTCTAACATGTAGGTGTGATTAACATAGTTCAAACAAAGACAAATCTAATAAAAGCCATTGAAAAAAAAAATGTAAAAACGATAGATAAGTCATAATATCATCTAAAAAAATTTATTCGAACCCATTCATCAAATATTTTTTTCTCAGCTATGAGACATTTTTTTTATTAATTCATCAAAATTTTTTATATCACAAATTATATGATATTATCTTTTAAGTAACTTAAATTAAATCGATGTAAGGGTAGCTTTAAGTTTCGAAGTAAGAATGACTTGCTTATACGAAAGAACAATACGAAAATTCACTCCAACTTTCAATCTTTTCTTTTTATTTCTCTCTTCCCAATTATAATCCCTATTTTAATTTCTTCCTTGGGTATTAAAAAATTTAGTTCCTTTTTTCTTTCCAAGAAGCAATAACCTGTTTTTTTTTTTTTAAATCGCCAAAATAGAGGAAAGTGCAGAGCAAACTAGAAAGAACATATAAGAAAATTCATTCAATCAACTAGATTTTCAATATTTTCTTTTACATTCTCTTTCTAAACACATTACTACTACGTTTCTGTTCATTGCGTATCGAAATCTTGTTCTTTCTATCCCTAAAGAACCTGTTTCTTCTCTTTTTTTTTCAATGGCTGAAAAAGAGGAGTTAGAGGCAACAGGGGAAGAAACAGAGTTAAAGAAAGAGCTGCAAAGGGTGGTGAAGACGATTCTTGAAGATGGTAATGGAATTGAGATTACGATTGAAGCTATGAGAATCTTCTCTTGTTTAGCAGAATTGATGCTGAAGAAACCTCTTGGTCTTGGAATGGACGATACGGTTTTGCCTGAGAAATTCAAGTGCCCTCTTTCTGGTGAAATCATGGGTGATCCTGTAGTCTTGGGTTCAGGCCAGGTTAGACTTTAAAGCTTGAATCTTTTTACTTTGTCTCTGTATTAGTAAATTAGTTTTCTTTATCATGCTTTAGACTGTTTGGATTTTGGTTGGTTTGTTGCATGTTAAGGTTTCTTGTCTACTAGTAATTCTTTCCTTAATGCTTTTTAATTTTCTTTTATTATTTATTGATTCTTTTATCATTTCATGCATGTAAAGCCAAATTCAATTTTTTATTTTATTTTAATGTGATCCATCCTTGTAGTTGGTCCTCTTTTTAGTTCCAGGCATGGGGAAACAACTGGCAAAGGTTCCATGTTGATTAAAATTGACCTTTACAATAGAGTTATGACGGAATTTTGTTACAATGGAAGTTCACTGTTTTATCTTGCTCATGCCAATGTGTTCTGTGTCTGTATTCGTGGTTTGTTTCTCTTTTTTGAAATTGAGTGATTTGAAAGAAATCCCACAGTAACTTTGCAAACCTGATTGGTTGAAGCTCCAAGATTTTCAAATATGAAGTTATCCTCAGTTTCAGTTGGAAATGAATCTGGTGTGTGGCAGATATCCATGATTTTAATGAGGTTAAACTTCTCTGAAAAACTGTTTCTTGTCTGGTTAAATATCAATAGGTAGAGGAGAATTACTCTTAATCATATTGGTACATTACGGAATCTGCTAATAGCACACTGAGGTTTTTGTTTCTTCTTAATCATCTGCATTGACGGTATCTTCTCGATTTTCAGACTTATGATAGGCCACACATTCAGAAGTGGTTGAATGAAGGGAACCTAACATGCCCTCTATCGAAACAAGTGCTCTCCCACTCTATCTTGACCCCTAACTGCTTGGTGCGGGAACTGATTTCACACTGGTGCAAGAAACGTGGCATTGCACTACCAAAATCCTATCAGGATATTGACGGAGAAATGATGACTGAGGTAGACCGAATGCACCTAAACTCATTGCTTGAAAAGATGTCTTCTTCCCTTTCTGATCAGAAAGAAGCTGCTAAAGAGCTTCGGAGACTAACGAAGACAACACCATCATATAGGGCATCTTTTTGTGAGTTTACTAATGCCATCTCTAGATTGCTTAGTCCACTATCAGAAACCAAGGTTGAGTCAGATCCTGATCTCCAGGAGGATTTGATCACTACTGTTTTAAACCTTTCTATTCATGACAACAATAAGAAACCAGTAGCAGAAAATCCAGTTGTCATACCTCTGCTTACTGAATCTTTGAAGTTTGGAACCATTGAAACAAGAAGAAATGCTGCAGCAGCTCTCTTCACATTATCAGCACTTGATTCAAACAAGTTCATCATTGGAAATTCTGGTGCTCTTGCTCCTCTACTTCAACTCTTATGTGAAGGGCATCCATTGGCAATGAAGGATGCTGCCTCAGCAATATTCAACCTTTGTCCTGTATATGAGAATAAAGCAAAGTTCAATGAAATAGGGGCAGCGAAGGTAATCCTGCAGAAGATCAAGGATGGCATACTTGTTAATGAGCTGTTGAGCATTCTTGCAATGCTATCTACACATCACAAGGCTATTGATGAACTTGGGGATCTTGATACCCTGCACTGCTTGCTTCAGATCATAAGAGATAGCAGTTCCGATAGTACAAAGGAGAACTGTGTTGCGATTCTGTACAATGTGTGTTTAAATGATCTGACTTTGCTGATGGTGGTCAAGGCAGAAGAAATTGAAAAACATACTCTAGCTGAACTTGCTGATACAGGGACTACAAGGGCCAGAAGGAAGGCCAGTGGCATCATCGAGAAAATGCATAAAGCTTTGCCAACTATACATACAACTTGAGGAAATAAACCCAAAGGGAAGTCATTTTTGTACGTGCTCTTTTTCTTCCGACATGAGACACAAAAATTCATATTCATACCTGTATAAAAACTAAACATGCCTACACAAATTTTCATATACTCATATCAGGCAAGTTTTGGTCCAAATGAGGCTCATAGATGACCAATGGGCAAAGAAAATTTTATCATCAGTGGAAATTGTACATTTTGGCATATTTATTTCTTTATGAATTCTTTTCCCCTTTCCATTTCCTCGCATAATCTAATTTATATCAGCAATATAGCCTGCTTTGAGTTCTAATATTGAACTGATTCTTTCTCAGATTATTATAATATCTGGTATGATCGGCAATGGAAGAAAAGGGAACAAGCAGACCCTTGTGAATGAGTCTACTTCAGGCTATTTGCTGGATTTGTTGTAGGGTCTTCATTGTTCATGTCAACACCAACTATTTTAGAGTGTCGGCACCTTATTACCAAATGTTTATATGTTTGATTAACGATCAGTACACTGTTCTTAGAAGGGGATAACCTTTACTATAATTTTTGTCAGATACTAACAAAAACCAATTCGGATGGTGGCTATAAATTTACATCTTCAGGGATAATAAAGAAATTGGTAAAGGTGCCAATTGATGTTGAAATCCAGTGTACACATCATACGCTGACTTGTATTCCACAGCCGTGGCTGTCTTTAGTACATTTGAATAGTTATCAGCTTATAAGAATCTGATAGACTAGAAAGTGCCAACCACTGCCTGCTAGCAGACATGTTAAAGTTTACAAACAATAAAGAAGCAATTTATAAACTAAATATGAATGTGTCGTTCACTGGTTGGGTCGTTAGGTTGAAGCATGGATGTTTAGTAAGGAATCAAAATTTTGTTGTGCTTTCTGACAAGGCAAGCAGATAGCAAAAGATGTCAATTTCAATGACCTATCTCAATATATCCAAATTAGAATTAAGATCTCTTTAATGTGTTAGAAACTAGACCTGATAAGCTTTCTAATCATATATGGCCCACATCATAATTCCTTGTAGATTAAATAATTTTTGAAATCTACGTCATATGCTGCTACTAGATAGCCTACATACCTTTTAATAAAAATTACGTATTTATTCATAGGAAACTCCAAATTCAATTCCACTTATTTCATTAGAAAATAAACTCAATAAGCTTTTCGAAAAATATATGGTTTATTCTATAAATCCTTGTATAAAAATTAAGACAATTTTCGTAATTCAACCTTGATACTGTTGCCTTATAGTCTGCATATCCTTAAGTAAAAATTAGACTACTCTCCATAGAAAACTCGGATTCGACTTCCATTTGTTTCATTAGAAAGTAGATTCAACAAGCTTACCAGTAATATATAATACTTATAGTAATAATCTATCCATTAATGCAAAATTCTATTTTAATTCACTATTGCAAATCATAGAGTTTTAACCAAAAACATAATTTCTCCTTCAATCTTTGAAAACTCAAATCCCCACTTTTACCCTTTAAACTCCATTCAATAATCATCAATAAATCTTAAGAACATGAAATAGATAAAGCCCAATAATTTACCGAAATAGACAAGATTAATGAAAGATTTCATAATTTTTTGGTTTTTTCTCAAAACTTTAACTTCATATAATAACATCAACATGATATTTTTTTTCTTAATAAAAAGAGGACATATACTCACATTTAGGATATTAACTTGATTGTGACCTCTGCTTTTAAATCTTTAACTTGATTTTTCATACTCTCTAACCCTAAGGAAGACGAGGAAGAAGGATTCTTATTTTTTTTCTATTTCACGATAACAAGGTTTTTCTCTGATAAAACACTCAGTCACTGTTTCTTTAGTAATTAACCTCTTAATTAACTTAATGGGCTTTAGTAATAGTTTAGCCCAATTATCATTTGGATTGGGGCATTACAAAAGTATTGTTGCTGTATAGCAATATTTCCAGTTTGGCATAAAAGTTACTTTGAAATTTTAAACATATTTGCTCTATTAAAGAATTATTTATAGATTATAAGTTGAATTATACATGAAAAGCCAAATTAAATTTGATTTATCATTTTATTGATTCTTTTATTTCATGCATGGAATGCCAAATTCCATTTTGTTTTTAATTTGATTTACCCTTGTAGTTGGTCCTTGTTTAAGTTCCAGGCATGGGAAAACAACTGGAAAAGGTTCCTTGTTGATTAAAATTGGCCTTTAGAATAGAGTTATGACAGAATTTTGTTACAATGGAAGTGCAATTTTTTATCTTGTTCATGCCAATTTCTTCTGTGTCTGTATATGTGGTTTGTTTCTCCTTTTTTTGAACTTGAGTGATTTGAAAGAAATCCGACTGTAAGTTTTCAGACCTGATAGGTTGAACCTCCTAGATTTTCAAATATTAAGAGTTATGGTTCGTTTGTTTCAGCTGGAAATGAATCTGGTGTGTGCCAGATAGGGATGTAAATGAGTCAAGTTACTCGTAAGCTATTCGAGCTCAACTCGAAATAAACCCCAGCTCAACTCGTTCATTGTCAAGCCGAACTCGAGTTATTCAACTAACTGTTTCTTATCAGGTTGATATCAATAGGTAGATGGGAATTACTCTCAATCATATTGGTACATTACTGAATCTGCTAATAGCAAAGTGATTTCCAAGAGCCTTGAGCTTCAAGATTTTTACCTTTCTAGCATAAATTTCCAGCACTCATTTTAGGAAAAAATAATCTGAGCCTAAATATTTGCATAGTCTTTTTGATTTCATACCTTCACCTTTCTGATTGATTTTCATATTTAATCTTGGTATTTTCTTCTCAATCATCTGCATCGACGGTATCTTATCGATTTTCGGACTTATGATAGGCCCCACATCCAGGAGTGGTTGAATGAAGGTAACCTAACATGCCTTCTTTCCAAACAAGCGCTCTCCCACTCTATCCTGACCCCTAGTTGCTTGGTGCGGGAATTGATTTCACACTGGTGCAAAGAACGTGGCATAGCACTACCAAAAGTTAATCTGGGTATTGATGGAGAAACGATTACTAAGGCAGATCGAATGTACTTAAACTTGATGCTGGAAAAGATGTCTCCTTCCCTTACCGTTTAGAAGGAAGCTGCTAAAGAGATTCGGAGACCAACAATGACGCCGCCGTCAAATAGGGCAGTTTTTTGTGAGTTTATTAATGCCATCTCTAGATTGCTTAGTCCACTATCAGAAACCAAGGTTGACTCAGATCCCAATCTCCAGGAGGATTTGATCTCAACAGTTTACAACCTTTCACTCCATGAAAACAATAAGAAACTACTAGCTGGAAATCCTGTTCTCATCCCTCTGCTTACTGAATCTATGAAGTTTGGAACCATTGGAACAAGAACAAATGCTGCATCAGCTATCTTCTGTTTATTAGAACTCGATTCAAACAAGATCATCATTGGAAATTCCGGTGTTCATGTGCCTCTCTTCAACTGTTACGTGAAGGGAATTCATTGGCGATGATGCATATTGTCTCAGCAATATTCCACCTTTGTTCTGGATCTGAGAATAAAGAAAAGTTAATTGAAATAGGGGCAGTTAAGGTAATCCTGCAGAAGATCAAGGATGGTATACTTGTCAGTGAGCTGTTGTTCATTCTTGAACTGCTATCTACTCATCACAAGGCCATTGATGAACTCGGGGATCGTGAGGCCCTGCAATGTTTGCTTCAGATCATAAGAGATAGCAGTTCCAAAGATACCAAGGAGAATTGTGTCAGAATCCTGTACAATGTGTGTTCAAAAGATCAGACTTTACTGACGGTGATCAGGGCCGAAGAAATTGAACAGCATACTCTAACTGAACTTGCTGATACAGGGACTACAAGGGCCAAAAAGACGGCCAGTGACATCATTGTGAAAATACATGAAGCATTTCCAACTACACAGACGGCACATGCTCTTTTCTTCTGACATTAGACACACAAATTCATGTTCAGTTACCTGTATCAAAACTAAACATGTCTCTACAAATTTTCATATATTCATATCAGCCAAGTTTTGGTCCAGTGAGACTCATAGATGACCAAATGACATGGAAAATTTTATCATCGGTGGAAATTGTACATTTTGGCATATCTGCTTCGTTATGAATTCTTTTCCTCTTCCCATTTCCTCTCATAATCTAATTTATATCAGCAATATATCCTGCTTTGAATTCCAATATTGAACTGATACTTTCTTGGATTATTATAATATCTAGTATCATCGCCAATGGAAGAAAAGGAAACGCGCAGAGCCTTGTGACTGAGTCTAATTCATGCTAATTGCTGGAGTTGTTGGGTCTTCATGACTGTTTTCACTGTTCTTAGAAGCGGATTACCTTTACTATAGAGAAATTGACAAAAGTGCCAATTGATGTTGAAATCCAGTGCAGACATCATGGGCTGACTTGTAATTCCATCATCCGAAGTTCTTTCTTATGGTGTTAGGTTAGTATAAATATCACTCTAATCAGAATGTTCTTCCTTAAAAATTGTTTGTTGGTGACAACCATTGGCAACATTAGTTAATTTGTTGGTGTCACTTGACTCGTGATAACAATTCAATCAGAAATGTTATATATATTAAAGATTATAGATGATGTGATGTAAAAGAAAAGAAACTTGATTTTTTTAAATTCCCCTAAAGAGGATTTAGATTATGATATTATTCCCAGTCAACCATGAAATTTAGAAACAATGCCTGGGTAAAGAGGAAATATTGATGCACAAAATCTTATTAAAATTTAGGAATATCTAAAATTTTGGTGAAATTTGTTATGATATTTCAGAAATTCATCAATAAAATTTCTATCAAGTGCAAAAATTGTAGACTCTTCTACTAATTAATGGTTAACAATAATGTCAAGGTAGAAACAGTTTTAGCAACTGATGCAAAATAAAATCTTATGCATTTTTATCATCAATTGAATGTGGATTAAAGGAAAAGAAAAGATATATGTATCCTTGTTTGGATAATTAAAATTAATAAAAAAAAAAGAATTTTAACACCCATTATTTGGATAAAAAGTAAAAAAGATAAGAAATAATTCGTTATAATAATTTTTTCTTATTATAACTTTTTATTACCTGTGATTTTAAAGCATTCTTGAATCATGATATATTTACTATCTTGTATGATCTCATAATTGTTGCTATATCAATGATTTTCAATCAAGTATAATAGAAAGATATTCTACAAATATGCATTGATGAATTTTTTTGTCATTGCTAAAATTTTAGCATACTATCACTTTGACAATATATTCATACAAAAGCTATTAAATATAAAAAATACAATTATATAAAAACATTACATCTTATAAACTCAAAAAATATATCTATTCATATTCAATCATTCATCCAAATCAAATCACTAAAAAATTATAAAAAAATTTTATATTGAAAGAAATATGTGAAACTTACTTAAAAAAGAAATAACTTTGAAAAAATTACAATAAGATTATGATGTGATTAAGTTTTTTTATTAGGTTTTTAATATTAATAAAAAGATGGATATAATAGTTTTTTTATAAAAATAAAATTTTTTTAATTTTTTTTCTTAACTTTTTTTCTAAATTAGAGTATTAAAAAAATAAAAATTATAAAAAAAATAAAAGTTATTGAATTTTCACCTATTTTTTTTCTTTAAATTAAAAATTTACCCCAACAAAATTTTTTTTTTCTGTTTTTATTACTTTCCTTTTCTTCCTCTTCTATGACATAGTGTAAAGGTGAATTACTCATGAATTACTCATGACTATCTTCACCCTCACATCCTCTTTTTTTTTTTTTAATTTGCAAGGGTTTTTGAAATTCAATGGATGATTTACCTATGGTGTAAATTCATCAGTAGACAAGGAAAAATCACCATGTAATCAGAGTCATTTCTCACTACAAGCTTTGTTTAGTCAAACATTTTTTATGAAACAAAAAAGGAATAAATCAGTAAATCTCCGGTCTAACTACAACTTTTTCCTTACAAACACTAAATTCCAGGTGGGAGAGCAAATTTCGTCTTTCAAAGTCAGATTCATGTTGCACAAGATGGTACCAAGCATGAAAAGAATCCAGGCATTTTCTTCTGCATTTGAACACCAAAATAAACATGTCAGAAACAGCTTAACAAAAACCATCAACACCCACCCCCCACCCACCCCTAAAAAAAAAAAATAAAACGTATTCTCATAGATGGGGCAGCGTTTCAGCTCTGGTTCTATCACCTCCTTGGCCCATGGCGTTCAAGGGCTAAAACAAATTTCGAGCCTAGCCAGCCCTAAGTAGACCTCAATTTAGAAAGAAAAAAAAACCCGAAATATTTCTTTATGATTAATTTATTCATAGTGGGATTTGAGGAGTTTTTCAAAGGGATGAAAAAGACCCTCCCGTTGGAATTGACCAAAAAATCAATGTGCCCCACCATGGTTCATGATCAGGTCCATGGAAATTTAGTGGAACTTGTACACTTGTATTAAGCCAAAACCCATATTTTAAATGAACAATTTAAAAATAAAAACCCATAATTCAAAATTAAGAAAAAATGAGATGGAAAGGGACATACTCGCTTGGAAGAGCGGAGGAGCTCAGGGGGGATTTTGTAGAGGTCTTCATCAACAGGCTTGGGATGTCTAACAGGCAATCTCTTGGGAGGACCGACTTTGGTTTTGAGCTGCTGACTACTTGTACTGTTATTATTAATACTAGAAATTGGCACATGGTGGGGATGCTGATGCTGGTATTTCCTTGGCGGCTCAGTCACGTCACAAACTCTCCCTGCCTTCTTTTGCTCCTTAACGTGCGGTTCTTTCTTTTCTCTTACCCTACTCACCTGCTAGATGGCACCAGAGTCCATACCCTCCATTATTATTCAACATTACTCATGATTTCATTTTTTTAATATGAGAATAGAAAAACAAAAGTTGTAATTACTTAAATTTGAATGCAAAATTCGCTGAATGCAATCTCATAAAGATACCGTATAAATCAACCGAACTAGATCTGAATTCTAATTACTTCATTCTTTGATATTTCATCTCATCTCTCTTATCTTTGAAAAAAAAAATCTAGATCTAACAGTTAGTAGTAACAAATATTGCACCAATGATCGAGATTTGACAGTTACATTTGTAAATGTTGCAATTATACTGTAATATATTTCGAGAAAGTTCAATGCATGCTTATGTTCTTTGGTTCTAACAAAAAACCAAAAAAAAAAAAAATTCTTGCGGGATTACTAGCTAGATTTCTGGAAAACAATTTCTAGGAAACGGGCTGCAGAAAACATTTCAGATTGGCAATATCGTTGCCATGGTTCTACAAGAAAGTTCCCATAAATGGTATTGATCTATGTTCCCACAGCACAAAAACAGTGAAACAGTTCTGCAGAAATATAAAAAATGACTCATTCTTTTCTTTTGTTGAAACTTTGGATTTTCTACATAATTTATAAGCTCAGCAACAAATCAACAGTACAAATATGAGAATCAGTTAACGAACCTTTCGAGCAGGAGCAAGATTACGAGAATGTTTCCTTAAATCAACAGTATATAAGTCACCAGGAATATTATAAGGATTAGATTCTCCTGATGAAGAGCTGAAACGAATCAAACCAGCTTGTCTAGCACATTCAAAGTACTGAGTTATAGGCAGGTCATTTGCATAGTCCCAGTCTCCAAATGCTGGTATCTGCCCACTTCTCTTGCAATAATCCTAAAGAAAACGAACAAAATCCCACCAGAGAATTAGCTTTAAAGGAGAGATTCAAGATTCAAAGAAGTTAAAAAGAAAAAGAACTTACAACCATTGTGGGGTTGTTACTTGTTAGTGACAGATCCTACTAGGAATTAATGAAGAAGCCAAAAGAACGAGTGATTACAAAGGTGGATGAAAAAAGATTGGGCTATAAAAGGTTTCTTTCAAAGAGAATGAGAACAGAAAGGCTAAAAAAGAAAGGTATGGGGATTCTCAAGAAAGCTACAGAAGATATAAATTCTAGTTTAGAATTACACAGAAGATGAGAGAATCTACAGATAAAAGATAGAGTTTCAGCTCCTTTTCGTGGAAACACCGTTATATAATAAATGCAGAAAAAAAAATTAAAGGAGTGTATAATAAGGAAGAAAAAAAAAAGGATGAACAGAACAGAAGTCTACTATTACGGGCTTGGTTAGTCAACTTTTTCTCGTTATTTCGGCTTTATTCAAACTCAACCACAACTTTTTTTTTGTCACTTAACCGAACATCCGTATGTAACTTTTTCTAATTATAATATATGATGCAACTTTTAAATTTTCCAAACCTGATCCCATGCTTTGCATTGCTTTTAATCTAATTCTTTTCTTTTTTTGTTTGTTTAATGGTTTCACGCGGCAATGTCAGGGAATGGGACCCTTAAGAAAGCAGGTTGTGTTCACAGTTCACTTGGATTTTGGAGCTGTTAACTGTTACAAAAAGTAGGTGAGGTTGCAGACTTGCAGTGAACTGAAAAGCCAATTTCTTTGGCTTATCAAAGATTTGTTTTAACATTTTTTGGACAAAAGGGTTATTGAAGATCTTTAAAAAAAAAAAAAAGGTTGGATATTGCTTAATAGTGGCTGTAGCCACCAGGCATATGAGCTACAGTTGCCCTTTAATCTGGAATGAGAAGGGGAACTGCTTTCGTGAGAAGTTCTGTCAGATGGTCAATGCTATATCCAACCAAATTCTGATATATTATCTTCTTAATGAAGGATATGGAATTTTTATTGGAAAATTTTGGCCAAATCATGAATTGACCAAGACTATTGAAATTTTTTGTGCAATATTTGTTCTAAAAGTATTGATTCTAAGATATGAATATGGCCATGCTTTTCTCATAATAAAGAGTAATATTCACTCCATTGAAAGCTCTTCCAATTTGGTTCTTGGGTTAGGACTTTCATTAGAAAGAGTAAAGTGTACTCCATTTAATGTCTCTCCAATTTGACTTTGATAGGCTAAAATATTAAAAAATTTTAAATTTTATTTAGATAAAATTTTATATTTTTATAACATTCAAATAAAATTTTATATTTTAATTTATATCCAATTAAAATTTTATTTCAAACTAATTATAATTTTTTAAATTCTTTTTAATCATATAAAAATTGATTTTTTTTAAATAAGTAAAAGTTTTATTGCAAGCATTTAAATTGATTTTTTCATATTTAGTAGTTTATTTAAATATAAATTAAAAATTAAAAATTATATTTAAAGATATATTAAAAATTAAGAATTTATTTAAATACAAATTAAAGATTCAAAATTTATTTAAATTAATACAAATATAAAATTTTATTTAAATAAACTGATAAAATTTAAAAATTTTATTTATTATTTTAGCCATTTTGGCATCCAATAAGACAATAACAGATTGCAATATTCGACTAACTTCACTTACAAGAGGCAAAAAGTTCAAAAAAAAAAAAATCTCCACTTGTTTTTTAGTGCTCTTTGTACAAAACTTCAAACTCTTCCGTAGACTAAATGCCAAACCCACAAACCCAGCCCCAACTGGCCAGACCATGCCAAAAGAAACTGATGTTTCTACCCTTGTCTAAAGTAAGCTTCATTTGAAAGTTCATGAAATTTTGGTGTATAGCATTTAAAATTATGATAAAAGTGGAGTATTTTAGAAGTTAAGAAACACGTGAGCCGATGATAAAATGCTGAAATTTTAATTTTAATATTTTTAAATATAAAAAAATAATATTTTAAGAGACAGTTGGGCTACCTGTTTAAAATAACTTTTTAGCAGAAAGTTATGTTTCTTCAATTCTCAACCATGCCTACCTTGCGGCATTTACCCTTCAAATCATGGGGGGAAAGGCATAGGATTTGTAAGTTATAAAACATCATAAATCATAATGTATAGCATTTCGAAAGGTACGTTACTTCATTTATTGGGGGATCAGAGATAGGGTGATTAGTACATATTTGCATTTAAACCATCCAAAAAGATGAGCAGAAGTGAATTGCAGCAGTGCTACATTTTGTCTTTCACTTGGGTAATTTTTTTACTGCCTTTTTTTTCATCCGCAATACACAATTCTGGAAGATGTTTTGTTTTTCATTTAGCAAAATTTGGGGAAACTACGTATTGATGTCACCTTTCGGGCTGATAGTCATAACTTTGAAATTACAAGAGAAAAAAAAAGCATTTAAAAATAAAGATAGAAGGTATTTTTTACATTTATATTTCAACTTTTAAATCAGATATAAAAATAAAAAAATAAAAAATAAAAAGATAAATAACACTTGAATTATTTTATTTATAAGTGAATGATGAAAGATTTATTAAGTTAAATAATAACGTAATTGATATTATATTATTTATATTAAATTAATTTAAAAGTTAAAAATATTTTTAATTATTTGTTGACAGTTTTTAATAATAAAAAAATTTATCTTTTAAACGTAAAAATATCCTTGTAACTATGGAATACATATAAACATTTTGCCTATAAGTACTTGTCATTCAATTCTAAAAAATTGTCGTCTAATTTCTTTTTTTTTCAATCTTTTCAACTTCGAACCCCAAAGTTCTAAACCCAAAGAACAAGAAAATTTTCTTGGAAATGAGAATTTCTTCTCACTTTTTTTTTTCTTTTTAAGGGTCTTGACGTGAGAGATAAGAACTACATTTTTTTCATGGAGAAATGAGAAAACGAGGAAAAAGGCAGAGTCATTTTCTTGGCTCAAGCTGCACTGCTGCACCAGCCAAACCTCGTGGAGTGATATATGGTTACCTTGCCTAATACAGTAATACTATTTGACTTGAAAACCCAATAAAAAAAACCCCACCTAGGGGCTTGAGCAAGCACCGATGGCACCTGCCACAAAGGGTCAAGAATGCCATCAGTTTCCTCTCTGCCTCGGCTTGACTTGAAGTGAAACTCCCCAACAAAAAACAAAATTAAACTTTGACAAGAAGGTTTCGGAAGTCAAAATATGGTATAAAATCAGGGGTTTTGTTGTTTAGCTTGAATGAAAATGACGGTGGTAACCGACCACGGAATGAGAACATGGGTTGGGAGGGTGAAAATTTCGTTCACGTGAGCCTCCAATGAAAGGAGAAGAAATTGGGGCAAAGATAAAAAATGGAGGACAGAAACATGTTACTTTCAAATCTATCGGTACAGAGGGCAAACCGCACACAATCTGCTAGAAATCATTATAAAATCAATGTGACAGAAAAAAAAATCAGTTTCACATTTATTCTGTGTTTAAGTAAGGATCGAATCTAACAAATCTTAGGTCATGCAACATGTTTTTACAGAATTGTTGTTTAGCAGTACATATATTCATATCATATAATTTTATCAGTCAGGAATGCATGTGAATGGTAGCTGTCAAGAAGTAAATAGCACACCAAGCTGTTTCCAACAGGAAGCATTTGTCAGCCTTCAGACCACCCTTCATATTGTTTATATAGACTCCAGATCAATATCAGGTCAGAGCGAAGGCATTTGAAGTAAATCAAAGTTAATGACCAAGCAGATTTAAAGTCTGTTTGCCTCAGAACGGTCAAATGAAAAAAATGTAACAGTGACTTGTAAAACTGAGAGAAAGTAGGAGCAATTCATGGTGGAGAAACTGGTATGGGAATTGATAACTGCATCGAAGAACAATCAAATTGAATTGAATTCTCTGTTATGATTCTGTCATGGAATCAATATTGTAAGCGAACTGATGAGGATGCTAGCCAAAACTTTCATCGATTGAAAAACTGTGGACCAAAAACTAGATTCAATATGAAGATCCCTTTGTTCTTCGTATGCGTGTTGTCTATCCATCATCAGACCGCAGGTTCCAATCTGACTAAGCAAGCATTGACTCAAAGATTTTTTTTTATATCAAGAGATCACGTAGGAAAAATGTTACGGGAATTAAAATTTTAATTTTAATTTGTTGAATATTATTTATCAAAAATAATTATATAAATAAATTGAATTAAATTCTGAATTTATTATCTCTTAAATTTAATGTCATATTTTACTTTTGTATTTTACAAAATTTCTAATGTAATAATACCTATATTTTTTTAACTTTGTAATATGATATTTGTATTATCATTGTCCATGATAAATTTATATGTGAATTAACACCATTAATTTAAGATGATTTAGCTTTCAACCAATAACATGCTGACAAGTGGCAAATAATGGCATTTCATCAAACTATATGAGATACACCTAAATGTCAAGACATAGTTTTTTAAAAAATATTAAAAACTTTTAAAATAAAATTTTTATTTTTTAAAATGAAAAAAGATTCATAAAGTTTGTTTAAAAAATTTATTTAAAAAATAAAATATAAATTTAATAAAATAAATTTTATTACAAATTTATAAAAAGTAATTGAAATGTAGAATTTTTTAAAAATTTTTTTATTTTTCAAAAAATAAAATAACAATAAAAATTATTTTTATTACTTCCCCTTAACTTTTCTTTTTCTTGCTTTCCTTTGTTTTATTTGAAAATTAAAAAACTCAAATTCCAAAAAATATATTTTATTTTTTAAAAATAAAAAAGTTTATAAATAAAATAGAAAGTTTATAAATTTTTCTTTTTTTTTTTTCCTTCAGTAAAATTTATATTTCATGAAAAAAAAATTTAAATACTTATAGAGAAAACTGGCTAGAGTAAAATTGAAGTTCAAATCAACTTCTATTCTAAGTATGTACTTTTGAACCCAAAATGCCAAAATAATAATAATAAAACATAAGGTAAAAACACCTCCTGACAAAAGGAGTTCAGCTTTTCCTTCCAACTCAAGTACTTCCAGGAAGTTGAGAATAAAAAGACCATGTCAATCAGAAGCCCAATATTAAACCATCAAGCAATCATTCTTTCTATCTTTTCAATCTTCAAAAGCTTTGCTTTTTCTTCAGTAAATTGACGTTAACCCCAGCTACACAACACAACCAAGCGATTAAATTCTCTGGTAATTCCTCACATTTTCTTTCAAACCCCTTTCTGTGATTAGCTATAGATCTCAAATTCTGCTCCTTTTCATAGAATTCTCTGTTACACTCCTTTGTTTAGTGTTTTTCTTTGATGGGTATTTAAAATTTTGCTGGTTTTTATTTCTTGTGGGTTTTTTTTTTTTCGAGTTTGTTGACTTGGTTGTTTTTAGGCCGTAGTTTAGGGACTAAATTAATAAAATGGGAAAGTTTAAGGCTTTTATTTCATTTTCTCTGCTACCAAACAGAGGCTTAGAGCAGTTTATATTTGGTTGCTGAGAAGAGTGATGAAGCAAAGTAGAGGAAACATAAGAGAAAAAAAAGATTACTTTTGAAGCTAATGCCTTGTTTCTTTGTTTTAGTTTTTGTATATAGCTTATACCATTTGAGTAAAGTATCAGTCACGTTCAATTATGTTTAACCTTGTCATTTTAAGGTAATTTATATTATGTATGGCAATTTTAAACATGATATGATGATACAACATATACAATACCAAAAAGACACAAAAGCGACAGTTTAAAATTTTAGCACAAAACGTTTTTGGGTTTGGCAAAAACCAAAAAAAGGTGTTTTGTGTTTGACGACATGAATTATGACACAGAAATTGTCATGTTTTACATGTGTTTGACATGAAAGAGACTGACATGAATTGACAAATTGTCATGTCTAATCTATATCTATATATCAAACCTAGTTAAGATTTATGTTATCACATTTTGTTGCATGATGCAAATTCTATTGAAAACCAGGCATTGTTTCCTATGTATAGAGGTCATACCATCTCGGTAACATATCAGCATTTTCAGTTAACTTTAACCTTGCCATTTTAAGATAATCCATATCTATATATCTTAGTTAAGATTTGTGTTATTATATTTTGTTGCATTTTGCATATTCTATTGAAAACCGGGCATTGTTTCCTGCGTTATTAAAAGTTTTTTAAGTATATGATCATTGTCATGAAATTCCTTTACTGGTGGTTGTTTCTAGTAGGTATTTGAGTTGAACATCATCTTGATATTCTATATGGCTTACATCCCTCCACACAAGCGGCATTCAAAGGATTCGGAGATGCCAACACCAACTCCAGAGTTCCTTGTTCCCCAATTTAAGAGAAATGTACAGTTGAGAGCACCAAAGTCTAATGCTGATAGGAGTGGAAAGATCATATATTCGAACTATGCCATAAATAGATGGTTTGCTCTTGGTTTAGATGATGGGAATGGGGACACTTCAGATGCTCATCTTAAGCCAGTTTCAGTTGAATTTATTGAGAGGAAAACAGGAGAGAAACCTGTAATCTTGGTGAAGAGTAATTTTGATAAAGGTTAGCGATACATCATTTCCCAACTAATCTCCCTTTTCCCCCACTGTTTTTATTGCTTACATTGTGGAAAGCTGTTCTTAACTTTTTTTCTTTTTTTTGGATTGCCGTAGAGAACAATGAAGTGAAAGGGTGCCCGTGGTCATCTATTGCAGAGAAGGTTCTGCCAGACCTGTTATCTTCCTTTGAAATTGCAAGGGCTGAAACAGAGAACCTAGATTTGAAAGAAGTAAAACCAGGAATGGTAGCTAGGTTTGGCAAAATACTTTTTCATGGGTAAGCTGGATTACTTTGCTATTGCTTCATCTAGTAAGGATAATTCTTTTTTCGCCAAATGAGTTGAATATGAAATGAAAATAACAGAAATTATACAGAGAGATCTTGTCAAATTTTAGTGGCTGAATAGAATCATTGCAGTTAAAATAGAGTACATTATTGAGGCTTTATGTAGTCATATTAATTCGTCCTTGAAGGAGATCAAGCAATCCCATTTTATACATGATACATTTATAGATAAATATTATGTCCAACTCCTATGAGTTAACAATTAAAGGGTCAATGCACTGAAGAAAAACACACTGTAACTGTAGCAATAGTTTCAGCAAATTGACTGGCACTTCTTATGTTAATATACTTGGTGCAGGAGCCCTTCAGTGAACCTGGAAAGTGTCAGAAAAGATTGTGTGACAGAGACAACATTGAGGAATTTGAAAAGATCATTTTACACAAGTCTTCCTGCTTCGTACACGGCAAATATTATGGCTAACGTTGCCCCAAAGATTGGAGTTGATTTCACAGAGGTGAAAGATACATACCATGTGAAGGTATATTTGCCCACTGACTCTACTTTCTAGATCATGGTGCTCATATATTCGATTGTGTTAGCTATGGAATATTTTTAATCTCTTTGCATGTTGTGTAGTTGTCTGATACCACACGACCAGATTCAACCATTTCGTGCAAATGTAGTGTAGTAGATTTTAAAAGACTACAGCTATACAAGGTAAGTCTTCTGCTACCATAGACCAAGATAAGCGCCCAATATGTTGAATCTCCTTCTTGTGCTGTCATGATGTTGGTGTGCTATTATCAAATGCATCAATGTATTGCAATTTGTGAATAATATTTGGGTTATTGATTAGAGTGCTTTAATGCTCTCTGTCTCACTTTTACTCTCTTGCGCTCCTCTTTCTTTCCTGTTATTTTTGTGGACGCATACCATGATACAGAAACTTTTCTCTTGTAGGTAGAGCTAAACCCAGTGCGTGACATGGTTGTAGACATATCATGCCCTGATATGGATCTCGATTTGAGGCTGATGCTGTGCCACAAGAGAATCTTAACTTCTCCGACTGTAAGTTAATTTGCAACCTTGCTGTCTCTAGGGCCATTGGGTTTTAGCAATTTAGCATAATGACTTGCTCAAGCATGAATTTCAGTTCTGAGGCCTCATAACTCTTTTGTCTATAATATGGGCAAATATCATGTGAAATTTGTTCTATGCATCTGAAATTATGATAAACACTGAGAAAGTAACCTCAACTTGTTATTTTAATGAGGTAACCATTCATGCCTCAATTTTTTTTTTAGTAAAACATGATTCTCCGTAATCCTCCGATCGTCTTGTTGGTGAGGAGGAGATCATGTAATGATCCCTGGTTGGGTTTCTTTTTTCATTGTTTTTGCTCCATATTTTTTCAACTATCAACATATTTTAGAGTTCTTTTTTAATCTTTTTCTCCATAGTGAAGCAAGAATGAAGAAGATGGGTCTCCTGTGTACTTACATTATGATAAAGTTTTGTAACTAAAACTTTTATCATCTGATTTCGTATTTGACTCTTCCCAGGAAGATGAGATACAATGCATTAGAAATCTGATTGATTCAGCAGTTCTAGACCCAGATGTGAAGGGTGGGCTGAGATGGCCCCTTGGAAAAGCATCTAGTGGGAATAGATTCAATGTTGTTGGCGTTTGGCACACAATGGCTACTGCTTATCAAAACTCATCCTTAAGACTCAAGGTAAGATATGCTGATCGATTTGATTTCAGAACTGCTTATGGGGAAGATTCGAAGGAGGTTGTCCTGAAGTTGAAAGGAATAGTTTCAGGACTGCTGGTAAGTGCCTCTCGGCCTTTTGGATTATTTGGCAACTTTATTAAACCCGATATTCTGGTGTTGAACTTACTGCACTGGTCTTGCCTTTAAACCAAAAGTTTTGTAGTAGCAGACTATGGTTGAAAAGAATTTAATGGTTTTAGCTGTATTTTAATGTTTTGGAATTGAAATGTAGCGTATTTTGTTCATATTGTTAATTTCAGACCATTTAAAAGCCTTGGTCTCTGCAGCCATGAACCATGCGAAAATGAGCAATAAACCTTCAACAATTTTTCGTTGAACTGTATATTTTTTTTCCCCATTTTTGCGAAGGAAATTTTATATGATTGTGTAACATTACTTCCTTTGAAATTTCAGGAGCAGGAGGTTGAAACAAATGTGATCTCCAACATGCTCAAAGACACCTTAAGTTTGATATGGCAACACTTCTTGCGCTGCGAGCCTTTTCTAACATAAAGGAATGCCTCCCTCTCTTCTTTTTATTCCTCACTTTCTGTGAGTTGTGCGTTTTCTGTTTTGTTGAAAGGCGATAGTTATAGCTTATCATGGCAAGCATCTAGTAAGGCCACAATATGAAATGTATGTATGCAATCTTGAAGAGAAGGGAAATGCAATTATATGGTTTGATTATTCCAACCCTTTCAATTCCTACATATATTGTTCCCTTTCTATTCCCCCCCTCTTTGTGGAAGGTAAAACCAATTATAAGTTTGGAGGCGAAGCAGCAGTCGTCAGGTTGGCCGCCTTTCAAATAAAATCCAACTTTAATGGAGGATGACTGATTGAGCTTGTAAAACAAAGGGAACAAAACAAAATGTATTGTAAAGATCTGCACTCAACTTATATGATATATTATTCATTTTAATTAGAAAATCACGTCGAGAAGTATATCCACATAATTTACCTCTAATGTATAGCCACTTTTCATCTTTGGGTCTTTTTATGCATGGATTAACCAAACTTGGGTTAAGATATTTGAGCCAGACCTCTGTCCAATTGGAGTCATTATTTTATTATTAAATAAATACTAAATTTCTATTTAAAATTAATTAAAAATAGATTAAAAGCCTTAAGCATTTTTTTAATAATTAAGTTGGGAATTATAGATAGGCCTGGACTGGTCTTCAGACCTGAGCTCAAACAGAACCCAACAGGAACCTGCTCAACCCATTAGAACCACTGGACAAGCCGGCAAGACAAAGGAAAGTAAGCAAAACCACAACATAAACCACTGTCTCAACCGTTGTTCGACGGACAAAATTAACCTCAAATTTTCATGTCTTTCATTTCTCTCAGACTCAAACTCTCTTCTTCCAGAATTCCCTGAAATGAAACTCAATCGTTTCTTAAACACAAACCCCACAGCAAACTCTTTACTACCATTCCTTTCTTTCCCTTCAAAGACGAAAAACCAAATTTCCTTGTTGAAATCACCCACTTCTCTTTCCTTTTTTCAAAACCCTTTCCTTGTTTCATCCCACTTTGCTCTTCCAATCCTTCTACCAATTCAGCTTCAAAGGTATCTAACTTTGAGGCCGATGGATTGCCCCGAACGTCAAAATTCAATCTTGGAGAAGAATCTAATGAGAATTACAATGTGGGAGTTGGAAACCCAATTGTTCCAACTTTTGTTTCGACTCAAAATATGAGCTTGAGTGATCAGGCCTTCTATCTGTTGGCCTTTATTGCTTGTACGGTATGGTTTTTAAGGCTTTTGAGGTTATTGGGTGCTTTGAGTAATTCCTGTTTTTGGCTTGTCCTGTTTTTATGTGCGTGCTTTCTATAATCTATGTTATGGATTTTGGGTCTTGTTTTTATGTATTTTTAGAGTTTTCTAAATGGAATTCATGATGTTTAGATGTATGAGAATATTGGAATGGTAGAATATGCTCTGTTTTGGGTTTTCATTGATGTTGGAATGGATAGTTATTAAGGGTTTTGTGACTATTTGGTGCTTATTTGAGATTTTTAATGGTAGTTCTTGGTTTTGGTATGTTTTATGTGGTTGCTTATTGCTTAGTGTCTATTATCAAATTTGATAGGTATTTTTTGTATGCATTTAGTTCTTACAATGTTATATATACTGGAATTGATGATGTTTGGATGTTTGAGAATTTTCAAATGGTAACTTGGTAAGACTATGCTTTTCTCTTGTTTTTCAGTGCTTGGAGGGTATTTGTTTTGTGGCTATTAGGTGCTTGCTTTATACAGTTGTTTGTTGGTTTTGTATGGGTTGGAAGTGGAATTTGAAAAAATTGCTTCTTAATTACGATTTTGTAATGTATGAAGTTTGAAATGATAGCATATTCTTTTTAGTGATGATTATAGTTTGCCTATTATAGTTTTGGTGGGTTTTTGTAGTTGTTTGGTGCTTATGAGATTTGAACTATTTGTTGGATGATTTTGATTTGTGCAGTTTTCTTTGGCTTGTTATTGACTATTGAATAGAATCTGTTATAAGTTGTGGTAAGAATTTAAGTGTTTAGTGTTGAAGTTTTCCATTTTGAAATTTTTATGATATTGTCTTCAAGCTTTGGTACTAAAGAATATGTTTGGTGTTGAGATTTTGTATTTTCTGATTGATTAATACCAATCTCCTGGATACATGCAGACTTCTGTGGCATTTACAAGTCTGGTCATTGTAGTAAAGAATATGTTTGGTGTTGAGATTTTGTATTTTCTGATTGATTAATACCAATCTCTTGGATAAATGCAGACTTCTGTGGCGTTTACAAGTCTGGTCATTGCAGCTGTTCCAACACTCTATGTAAGTTTTCAGATATTGTATCTGAAACTTTGACTAAAAGATAGATGTGATATGCTAGAGTCTATTTGCCATTTCATTTACAGATTTGATAATTTGTCTTTATCTCATTTTATGAATGTGATGTAATTTGATAGTAGCTGTAATGTATAGTGAACAATAATGTATAATATTGCATGGTTTCATCCATGCCTTATTTGTGATTTCAACGGTCAAGAGTGACAGGACAGTTCAAGCTTGTTCATCCTGATTATGGTGTATTCCTAATATACTCAGTGTTAAACTTTAGTTCTGTACATTTCATGATCATTTTGAAGTCTACATCAGCCTCAATCAAAGAAAAGGAGCATTTTGTATTTTAACATTTATTTCTTTTTTTGCCTGTTCTGCAGGCAATGGGAAGAGCTGCAATTTCTCTCTCCAAGCTAGCAGATACAGCTCGAGAGGAACTTCCCAGTACTATGGCTGCAATTAGGCTTTCAGGCATGGAGATCAGTGAACTTACACTGGAACTAAGTGATTTAAGGTGACAGTTAAATCCTTATGTCATTTTTTTGGTTATGCATATAATTGTTTCTCATAAATCAGAAACCGTAGGTGGATTCCCTGTTGTAAATAGAAGAGAAGAATATGTTTTGAAACAGAGACTAATGCACTCTTCAAGGAAAAAGCAAAATTTGCCATACAAGGTTCTCTTTCTCTAGGATTTGTTCTATCGTGGGATATTTAGACAAAGACTGTTGGCAATAATTATTTTAGTTCTAGAACCAAGAAATTTTGTTTCTCTGGGGAATTCTTGTGTACTGCTGGAAGAGTATACTGCATATTTTCTTGTACCAAATTTCATAGCATGTTATAGTCAATAGAGGTGTAATGCCTTTTTGACACCATGGATAATGAGATGTAGACTTTTAAACTTTTCTTTTATTTTCCATTTTCACATATGATTTTGAGTATAATGCTTTGATTACTTGATACTCAGCCAAGAGATTGCTAATGGTGTCAACAAATCAGCTCAAGTTGTGCAGGCCGCTGAAGCTGGAATACGGCGGATTGGTTCGCTTGCTCACCAGCAGACAATGTGTAAGTTCAAGAGCTGCAACTGAACATCCCCCCCCCCCCCCCCCCGCCCCCAAAAAAAAAAAAACACAGGCATGGTACTAAAATTTTTTTTATCAAATTGACTTTTTGTGACATCTCTATCCAGCAATGATTCAAGAACGGGCTAGTTTGCCTATCATCTCTTTACAACCTGTTGTTACCGGGGCTGCTAGAAAAACTTCTCATGCTGTTTGCCAAGCCACAAAGACTATCATGAATATCTTCTATCGAGAATTCGGCTCAGAGAACAACGATGAGAGTGGCATTGATAGATTGGAAATGTAAGGAGTTAACTGCTTCTTGATACTAGTGGATAGCTGATGTCTATATACATAACATAAAGAACCGAGGCGCCAGACCAAAGTTGTTTACTCTTCCAACAGTATCTATGCCCAAAAATTTACAACCTATTTGATGGAATATGTTGTTTTTATCTGGGCTTTACACTTTCTTCCCCCACTTTGTATCCCACGAGTTTGTGGATTTGTTTCCAAAGCAGGAATGGTTTAAGTGATGCAAATATGCATTACAATTTTGATGAATAGACAATTTGATTCAGTAAAGAAGGCTTCTCCTTTCAGTTCTCAGTTGGAAATCTGTGCCAAATTTATTTTTAAGCTGTTCAGCCTCTGCCTCTTCATGTATCTTTCCTCCTTCCCATTCCACTCTTCTCAACCATGAATTTATAATTCCCAAACCCAAAATGCCAGTCCTCCAATTCAGAGGCGTTCACCTGCTTGTTTTTAGGAGAAATATCCATCTATAATTAAGCTAAGGCTTGGATAGATATATGTATGGTCAAGCCAGAGTCAGCCTGCTCCAAAACTTACTTTCTCAATAAATTTTTAAATCTGAAGTACAAGACATCATGTACAGATATAGGTTGAACTCTCCTTTATTATTATTATTTTTTAATCAATTAAGATAGCAAAAGAGATTATAAGTATTAAAATTTAAAACTTTAATTGATTAAATGTCATTTTTTAAAGATAATTATATAAATAAATTAAATTAAATTTCAAATTTATAAATATTTATCTGTTGGCATCCTATATATATATATATATATATGGTTGTTGATGAGATCTATGATTGACTAATAAGGAAGAGAAAAAACGAGCTTGATAACTTGAACCAAAATATGCTTACCAAAAAAGGTGTATCTTATGGAAATCTAAGCTGAAAGTTATGCTATTCATCATACTAAGCTATCGTCTCACTCAATTTCTTCAAACAATTCAAAAACAAAATTTTTCAATAGTTATGATTAATATGATAAAGTCATATCCGAGTTTTAGTAATTAAATTTAAATATATATATCAATTGAGTATTTAAATTGATAAATTAAAACTAAATTATCGGCTAACTGCTACTTTAGCTAATAAAAAAATTAATTTCATAACGCTTTATAAATGAATAAACAACATTCATTTATATGAAAAACGTATCATGTCGCTCTGGTGCAAAATAAAAACATGTGGTCAGGAAAGAATTATAACACAAATTGAACAAATCCATCAGGAAAGAAAAACATTTTTGAAGCTAAACTCCAAATTAGATACATGATAAAGATTTAACATGGACTCCGCCCTCTTTTTGAACCCAATTATACAGCTAACATATCGAATTGTTTCTATCACAAACCATAATATGAACATTTCACTGCCAAGCTCATTACATGAAAATATTAGTATTTAGTTAGTAGCTTAATTTGAACTTTATTTTTATTTTTGGTATAGTCTTGCCAATAGTTGATAAAAGTTTAGATTTTTAATTGCAGTGATCAAATTTAAATTTTGATAATTTTTAATAAAAAAATTTTTAGTATTATATGTACATTTCAGTGGTTGATAATGCTTTGCATTTCAAACCAATTTTCCGAAAATATGCTTGAATTTTAAACTTAAAAATTTTCAATTGATAAACCCATTTAGGGAAAAAAAAGAGTTTGGAAATTTTCTCTTCAATTAGATTAAGATAGAGCTAATAAAACTCGAAGTGTTTCCATCCTAAACTGCAATGAAGGATTTGATTAGTAAGCCATGACATGCAAGTTGTACTTAATGGCTTTGAGTTTTAGAATTCTCTTTTTTTGGTATACAAGACAAAAGACCCTTGATCTTATATGCATTTGAGTGGCTGAATATGCTTTGCAATTCCAATCAATTTACTGAAAATGGACTTATCTCCCCCATTTTCTTTTGATTAGCAGCTAACAACTTTCCAGGAATTGTAAATATCAAGCAAGATTGAGAATGAGGTTCAAAGGAAATCAGGAATCCACTAGGTTGTGATCAGGGCCGAAAGGAAATTAAACTTTATAACATCCTGATCTCACATCGGATATTATCCATTATAGTATATATGTAGAAATTTAAACCTATACTTATGAGATTTTTTTTTTTTTTTGGATAAAACCATAAAACATTCAGATCAAAATAAATAATACCTCATAAATTGAATGCAAATCTCGACAAACTCATCTAACTATTTCCCTGGCATGTTTACAACCATGAATTGTATGATTTGATCTTAATGTCAGCTGGTACTTGAGCTGACTGATCAATATAATTAGGAAAGCCAAACTACAATGAAGAAAAATCAGTGTCCTAACTCTTATTATGAGCATATAAATAATGGGTTTGAGAAGTATTGGGACTTAAGTTCTTCATTACTGAGAAACAGTGTCAATCATAGTAAAGTGCTTCGAAATGGGATTCTTGACCCCTCATCATCAGCTGGCTTTCATATTTGGTGTCTTGGGTATTAGCACCATTCTTGTCTTTCAAATGTTTAATTAGTTCAGCTCACCTTGCTAGAACTAGGCTTCAATTTTCCATTCAGGTTTCTTCGCCATCAAGCCAACTTCACTTGTATCAACATTATAACTCTGTCACATCCCTTCTAGTCACCTATATGATTCTAGATTGCGTAATTATGACCTCTATTACCGTAATAAGTTTGCTTAAAAACATTGCAATCCAATATTGGATCATATATTGTGTATGATGTTCCTTTGTTTTCTGTTTTGTGTAGGTAACATTGTTTCATTCTTGGTGTTCTTGGCACCAGTGTAAGAGCCATTCTGTTTCTGAACAGATTTGTATATATTTGCTCATGAATCAATGGTACAGCGCTGATATCTCTGTCTCTCTGTCAGGCCAACCTTTTATACAATTTACAAGAAAAAAACTGCTGAAGGATACCAACCAATTCCTTATATGGTTGCACTTTCCAGCGCAATGATGTTACTGTACTATGGTACGCTTAAGACGGACGCGAATCTGATCATCAGCATCAATAGCATAGGATGTGCTACAGAAGTTATCTATTTGGTATTATACTTTATATATGCACCTAAGAGGGAGAAGGTAACGTTTGTTGCTTGCAATTGTGTTTCATCATTTTGGTAATGAAAAGACTCATTTAAAAAAAATGACATTAAAATGTTATTGAAATTGCAGGTTTTTACAGTGAAATGGATAATCATATTCAACCTTGGAGGCTATTGCTTGATCATGGTACTCACCAATTTATTGATAGAAAGGTCGAAACGTGTAACTGTTATGGGATGGATCTGTGCTGTTTACAATGTTGCCGTATTTGCTTCTCCTTTAAGCATCATGGTTTGTAGCTACAAGAACAAATTTCATTCTTTCTATTAATATAAGGAATCTCACTTGTCTGGATAAATCCCGAGTGCTTGAATTGCGCTAAACATATGCCGTTGATAAGTCTATTAGTCAATTTCTGTTATGATCTTATTCTCAGTACTTCAAATTTCCTCTTCAGCTTTCTGATTGACAATGTATCATAATTTTGTTACAGAGGCATGTCATAAGGACAAAAAGTGTAGAACACATGCCATTTTTTCTTTCCTTTTTCCTCACATTATGCGCCACAATGTGGTTCTTCTATGGAATTTTCCTAGAGGATTTCTACATTGCAGTAAGTCATTCATATAAACAGGATTTCTTTTAAAGAAACATCCATTTGTGCTTCAAAAGACTAACATGAAAAAACATTTTGATTTTTGTATGTTCAGTTGCCAAATGTGTTGGGATTTTTGTTTGGAATAGCACAAATGATCCTCTATGTCATATACAAGAATCCAAACAAGGATGTTGAAGTAACAGAAAAGCAGCAAAAAGGAGATATAGAGTTAAATCTGAGCTCAGTGGAGGATGTAAACCCATGTTTGGCAGATCATCAACTGGGAATCAAAGAAATTACAGTAGTTACTGCTGAGAAGCCTGTTGAATCATACAAGATTAATGCATGATCATGTCAATGGAGATTTTATTTATGGCAACCGCATATTCAAGCTTGAAAGACAAAGTTCAAGGGCGAGGAATCAAAGATATGTTTCTTTTCTTGGGGGGAAAGTAGCAAATTCTTTTCCCCTTTGTTTTTCTTTTCCTTTTTTGTTCTTCTCCCCATGTATTAAGTATTAATAAGGTCCTGTAGAACTAAGTGCCATTGATGTGGGAACAACTTATATGAGATCTGTGGAATGTTTGTGACAATGAAAAGATGGAAAATATGCAGAATGTCTCACTCTGAAAAGAATTTTATTTGCTTTTCATTGAATTAGGGCCATTCAATATGGAAAACTCCAGATTCTAACAACCTATGTAGATCGATAACCAAGCAATAATTAAGTTCTTTTGACAGTAAAAATGAGTAATTAACATCTCAACCCTTTAATTGTTACTATATGAAAACATTAAACAAAGATATATCACTTCTCATATTAACATGAAAATATTTGTTCAAGGAGAATTAGAAAGACCATTCAAACTATTGAATATTCTAATCTAAATTTGTGCTTGGGGAATTTGTACTGTTAGTTTGGTCTCAAAGATTTTGTTGCTGATTTTTGGGTTAGCTGGTGTAGTCTCAAAGATTCCTTTTCTGCAACACAGTCTATGATCGGACCCCAGACTTGTCGGATGCCACTTTTTAAAAGTAGCTGCATGAACTAATTAAGCTAAGTTCTGGATTTTATACTTTTCCAATTTTGATGAGCTGTAATTGTAGTACAACAAGCTAATGCTGATAATTGTGGATATCATTTTTGAGATGCAAGCTGTATGTTGTTGATTTATGAGTAATAGATTGGAAAGGAACAAAAGAAAGAAAAGCTCAACAGTTGCTTCCATCTTTTTTGCCTCCTGTCCATCATGATCAGATAGCAATCTCCTATCATGACTGTCTGAAGTACATTGGATCTTCAATAAAAACATTGAAGCACTTAAAGATCTGGGATTTTTCAGGCAACAAAGAATACATTTATTGTCTTCAGCAACAAGACACTTTAAAACAAGTACATATTTTTAAAGAAACACTGCAGATTTTGATGATTTTATGCAGTATTTTCAGGAAGTTCCCATAGGATAGCATTCGAGTGGATGTGACAACTTCTGGCTCTTTGAGATCCATTCTAGCTTGAAAACTAATGTAAACTAACAATAAAATCTCCCCCATCTTTGACATATTCACTAGTAATTGACAATCTTCAATTCTTAAAAAGACGATAATTCTTTCTTCTATTCTGAATGCGGATTTGGATCTTCGCTGCCTCCGGGGACGGAAAGATCCCTATATGAGCTTGATCAAAAGGAGTGAAGCAAAATCATCACAGCGTCATCCTGGATCGCAACAGGTATATGATGAAATAGCATTCCTAATTTGGATCTTTTATTTTGTATCAGTCGAAATCACTTCCATGGACCGTGACTGAGGTGTTGCTGATGGACCAATTTCCTGCCTCATTTTCTGCACATAAAGAAGTCATTACAAGTTATCTTCCATCATATTTTAACAGATAGAAGCTGTAAAGAAATGATAGCATTAAATATTGAAGTAATCAAACCATGTCAGCCACTGTGTTTTTCCAAGCCTTCTCCATCTCATCAAAAACAACATCAATTGGTGGTCGACCTCTACTTGATTTGGCAACACAGAGGACAGCAATCTTTAGGATGGCTTCGAAATCTGTCTTATTGAGATTACCATGTAGCCTCGGATCTTCAAAATCTGTTAATGGACGATTTCCCATGCTTACATCCTTTGCCTACAGAAATTCAAATTGGTTACAAAATGTGTACATTTCTTACTGATAAGAGATGTGGGGAATTGAGGGAATTAAGTACTTTTCGTGTCAGCTGTTCACTGGCATCAAGATCCAACTCAAAAACTTTCTGTCCTGACAGAAGTTGCAAGGCCACAATTCCAAAGCTGTAGATATCACTGGCACAGGACAGCTTTGCGTTGCTCATGTATTCTGGATCCATATAGCCTATAGTTCCTCTAATATCTGTGAATACTTTGCTCTCCTCCATTCCCAGCATCCTCGCCAACCCAAAATCTGATAGCTTGGGCTCCAAGTCTTCAGTCAAGAGGATGTTTGTGAGCTATGAGACAACCATTCAGCATTGGGAAAAAAATTAAACAAGAATTGATTATATGAATATGAATATGAATATGAATATGAAGTTGCTTCCATAGAGACAGATCAGTAGCATATGATCTATTTTACCTTAATATCTCTATGAACAATGCATCCATCAATGTAATTGTGGAGATACCTCAGCCCAAGTGCACAGTCTCTTAGGATCTTAACTCTTCTTTCCCATGTCAAAACACGGTCTTTCCCTGAAAAGCATAGTATGCAGCTTAAAGCAAATAGAAAAGAAAATAAGGGGTGCTATTTTCATGCCCCATATGGCCAGGACACATCCCTTCCAAAGCCTGACCACTGCAATTTGGGGCGGAAAGAAAGCATCTCTGAAAAGAGGAGCAACATGTAATGGTTCAAGAAAAATTACTTAGGAGATGCTGAGCAAGATTCCCTGCAGGACAATATTCCAAGACCAAATACTGCTCATCATCTTCGATACAGCAACCAAGTAGAGAAACAAGGTTTGGATGTCGAATCCTGGAAAGACCTGCAACTTCCCTAGTAAAAGAATCAGAGGAGTTTTCTTTCTTTATCTGCTTGATAGCCACAACTTGTCCACTAGGCAGAATGCCTTCGTAAACTTCACCAGCACTCCCTCTACCTAAACTCTTTCTTTTATTGTTCATACTTATAGCATTCTCAATCTCAGCCTTGGAGAACCTGTAGAGGCCAGACCATGTAGTGGTGTCCTTGGATGGAATACGTTTAGGAAGTTTTCTTTTGCTCTCGCTCTGGCTCTTCCTTGAGGCAACAAATTTTACCAAGACAAGGGTCAGAATTAGTACAACAACAGCTACAAAGACCGCAACCAGTGCTTTTGCTAGGGACCCTGATAAGTGATTTCTGTGAGCATTTGAGGTCATAAAGGAAAAACGGAACTATAATTTTCATTGGTAACATGGATCAAACAGAATCAAATCAGCAGAGGAGATGGAGATAAGCAATTGAACTTACGTTTGAGTTTGACGTAGCGTGGACCTGTTAGGCAATTAAAAAATAGCTCAAAGTCAGGATAGGGAATTTGAACCTAAGGCAGAAGAGGTTCTACTTAAGTTCTGGTCCTTACCAAAATCATCCAAAGAAGACATACAGCTAAACAAATTTGCGCCAAAAGAGTTATCAGTAACACTCGTAGATGCAACTGAAATAACTGCTGCTAAATTACATATTGTTCTTTCAGTACCATTTTTTTGCCCTTTAAATAGTTCCAATAGATTCTCCACCACCTTTGCTATGGCATCAGTGCAATTTTTGCAGGAATTGTCAAATGAAGAACTTAACTTAGCGCATATGTCTACTGCTTCAGGGTAATATGCATTGCCTTGAATATCTGATAGAAATAGGCTTGAGCACTTGCTACTGCCCGAGTAGAAATCATCAAATCCACAAGAATCTATAGAAACTGATTCTTGGCTTGAAAAAGGAGAATTACATTTTCTCCAAGAATCTTCTTCAAGGAAGATGATACCGTCTAGAGTATCATTAGCCCGAGCTGCAAGAACTTGGGAGAAGGAATTGAGTGCGTTTCGACAGCAATGAGTTGAGTGGATACTGCCCCATAATTTGACCTTCCCGTTTTTACCAATGCAGTTAGCACTTGGTAGATAAGGGTATGAAGTGAAATTCAAGACACAGTCTGCAAACGCTATGAACTTTGTCAAAGCTTAGATAGGAAAAATGGCTCTCACGTACCATGCAGAATTTGTAACACTAAGCATTTTTGTTTGAGCAAAATATGTACTATTATCTTCATTCAAAATTTTTTGAAGAAAAAAAAAATGAAACATGTGTTTAAAATGTCTAATTCAACCACAAGGTGAGCTCAGGTTTACCTAAACTGTTAATAGAAACTAGCTGAAAGATTGCTCCACAATGAATGAAAATATGCACAATAGGCTCAAATCCAGGACAAAAAGACAAAGTGAAAATTTAATTGAAATATGGATTAAGCAACAGAGAAAAGAAAAGAAACCTGCAGCATCTTGCGCAGGAGAACCAATAGCAAAGGCAAAGAGAAAGAAGCTGCTAATGCAGAAGGCGGCAAGTTTCAGCCAAGGATGAAGTGTTTTCATGTCCTTTTCCCGCTATGGTAGACCTGAAGAAAAATGAATATTTACAAATGTGAAAGCGAAAAGCTGAAATTTTCCATTGAAGAAAACCCAACGGTTTATTTATAGAACATTGTTTTCCTAGTGACTATCGTTTAAAAAACAGGATATTCTTACCTGGCAGCTGGATTCTTACAGCTAACATTACAAACCTTGAAGTTGTCTCCCATTAGGCATTTTATCAGTATCTCTATACTGGAGTTCTTAACATACACTTAAATAAAATAAAATAAAAAAAGAAATCCAGAATTTAGTTCAATAAGTTCATTCAGCCACAAGTAGCATCCGATAGGTCTGAATTAAATTTCAACATCAATTACCCTTTCTTTTGTCCTTAGGTTACGAAGTGCTTTGTAATATATATATATATATATATATATAAAGAAAACTCTGGTGTATGGTGAAGTGAACAAAATTTTCCTTGATGTTAACTCCAATTTGAAGATTCTTATGTATGCAACACAGGTAATCCAATGATAGAATCTTAAATCACATCGCCGCATTCATTGATCAAGAAAAAAATATCAGTTATGGTTGTCCTTTATCATCGTATTCTTCTTGAAAAATCCAAGAAAAAATTAAGTTGCCTTGTCAACATCATTTTACATACTGTTGTAATTTCCTCCTACATTAATAATTAAATCTGATGTTTCAAAGCTTGCATCAAAAGTTTGGTACGTGAGAATTTAAGGCTTTTCTAAAGAGATAACAAATTTTCACTCTATTTTTTTTTTCTTACAAGAGGACAATCTCATATGACTATATCACTTCTCATATTAGAATGTTTTGGTTTGAATTGCTTATGTAGACAGAATCAAATTCATAATATGTATAACCGAATTTTTTTGGGTACATATGATGTGAGATTATACATTAATAATCGATTTAATTTGATTAATCAATTTACTATCAAATTAATTTTAATTGATTATAAAAAATAATTATGAAAAATTTTGATTTTCAATTAATTCGATTAAATAACATCATCATGTTCAAACTGCATTTTTATGTCAAGACATTGAGATATGGCACACTTTTTGCAGTATGAAATGATTTCAAATGATAAAATGTATATTAGAGTTCAACACATAAGATCAAGACTTACAATGGATGAAAGGTTCCACAGCTGGAAAATTGTTCTGGTTATCAAAATTCAATCAAGCAGTAAAACTGTAAGCAGTACAAGTAGATAAAAAAATGGACATCAGGGTTAAGATGCTCAAAGACAGTGGCTCTTAGTTGATTAAATCTAATTTAATTTCTTTCCCCTACGGCTTTCATCTTTTTTTTTTCTTCTTCTTCTTTTCCCCTTTGAGTCTTCAAGGCAAAAGCTAATGCAAATCCAACTTTATCGTCAAAGCTGATATGTCAAACTGATATCACTTCCAAGGATATCAAGGTGGGTGGTTCCCATGAATTTATTCTATTCTTGGCTCTCTGCACCTAATGCAAAACATAACATTTTATCCTCAATTCAATCTGGAATTTATGTATGAAATTTAAAAAGAGAAAAGAGTGGCCTTAAATGTGAAAGTAAAGAAACCATGTCACCCAAAGTGTTTCTCCAAGCCCTTTCCGTCTCACCGAGGACAATATCAATTTTTGGGCGGCCAGTACTGTTAAGTTGTGGGAGCTTAATTATTATCATGATTGTCTTTACATAAGTAAGTATTTTGGGTTTTTTTTTTTATCAAATTTTGAAAAATAGGGATTTAATCTTAGAGTAACTTGAAATGCTGCCTTATAAATAAAAAACCAAAAGATGTACGATGACAATGACTTGAATTTCATCTTGTTTGAGCAAAAATCCCAACTGGGGGTAAGCACTTGAAATCAATAACAATAATAGAAAAACAAAGGTCACAAATTGTTTAGACGTTTGTGATCCGACACTTAAATAAAAAAATAAAAAAGAGAGGAAAAAAAGAAAATATGAAAATAGGGAAATGAAAGAAAATAATTGGGTTGCTTTACCTAAAGAGTGAGAAAAGAGTATTTTTACCTGTAAGATGACATGATCGAGTCTAAATGAGTCGACTTGAGGTCGCAGGTACCGAACCGACGAGGATTAAGTCTGACCTTATGTGGTTTTTGGCATCCAACATCCAAGTGACATGTCAACTAGGTCATGTGGATTGTCACATTGCCTCTGATGAAGTATCCTTCGAGAAATCAAGTCGGTTTGAACATAAGCTCGGCCAAATCACTAGAAATACTCTCATGGTCTTGAAGATTCTTATGTTAGGAAAAAACGATTTTGCCATGTGTAATCATTTATATCACATCTCTTTCATGTTCATGCTAATGCATAAACGATGGAAAAAAATGCAACCTGATGGATCATCTGGGGAAGGAGAACCAAAAGAGAAGGCATAGATGAAGAAGCTGATAATGCAAAAGAATGCAAGTTTCAACCATGAAAACGAGATTTTCATGTTTCTTTCTTATAATAACACTTGGCAAATAGCTCTAGAAAGATTGTTGCACGAGGAAGAAGAAAATCAATATGTGCAGTATGATAGTGGAAAAAACTGGAGTTAATTTCTTGGGAAAAGAAGCCAACCAAAAATATACTTATACACCATTGTTTCTTAATTAGTGACTATTGATGAAAAAACAGGATAAGAATTCTTGTCTGTGTTTACTTGTTTCTTACCTCTAAGTAGCTCCTAGCCTTTTAAAACGTTGAAATTGCCAAGGGTTTTTCATGAATTTACCAGGTTTTATGGGTTGATTAATTTTCCCTTAAAATAATACGGGCAAATTTGTCGTTTAAGGAGTCAAATCCTAATTCCTTGAGGTCAAGTCCCTTTAGCATTAATCTTACAGCTTTGAAGATGTCGAAAACATGTCTATAATTTTGTTCCACGTGAATTTTCATGGTTTTCATGGCCAGATTCATTTTAGATGTTCCAAAGATTGTACTAAAATTTTCATTTTATATTCGCTCATGATAAGTCGATCCAAATTTAAATATAATATCAACAATTTACATTGTTAAAGTTCAACTCAATCCCACAATTCAGACTTCAAATTTTATTCAGCATCTCATATTAGAGTTTTTTTTTTTTTTGCTTTCTTGGAGTTAAAACATAGGATTATCTAGCAAATTAGATTTTTTTTTCTTTCTTTTTGTTGGGTCGAATGGAGTTTAAGACACGAGTATTACACTCCTTCGGTCCCAATATTTTTATTAAAGATATTTTAAAATTATGAAAATTTGATTTTATAAAAAATTTTAAATTTAAATATTTAATATATTCAAATTAAATTTTTTTTTAATTTGATAGATATCAATATCTTTCAAATAATTTGGGACTGACGGAATTTTTTTTTTAAGTTGAAATTTGGTAAATTTTGGAGAAAGTGCCAGTTAGAAAAGGCAGGAAGAACAAAAATAGAAACATAGGATACGTAAAAGGTCTAGTTTCCACACATTGTCTTATCCTATGTTCACTTACAGACGAACTCGCCCACAAGTTGTTGGCTTCTTGCCGCTCTTTTTCTGTTGACGTCCTCATTTCCCTGCCTGCTTCTCTCTTTTACAACCATAACTAACATTAAAATCAATTAGAACCCACCATTTTTTTCTTCTCCATTAAACTAAGGTCAGTTTTTTTTCTCTCTTTCTCTTCAACAAATTCACTTTTTTTTTCCTTTTTTAGTTTGTAACTTGGTCTTTCCTGCTGAATTTCATTATGTCATTGCTTGGTGGGAAATGGATATGATTCATTAATTTTTTTTTTCTTTTTGTTTTGGTTTGAATGGGTTGTGCTAGCAATTGGGTTACTTTCCCTTTTTGTACATTTTTGCTCTGCCTTTGTTTTATACTTGGTTAATATGTTGGAATTGAGTATTTCTTGCTAAATTTTCCAATGAGATTTGTTTGGTAGGAAAATGGGTTTTATTTGTAGGTTGATAATTTGTTTCAGATATGGTAAACCAGGGCAATTGGGTGCTTTTCTTTTGATTGTTTGCTTCTTTTGTTCATTACTTTTGTGATCCACTAATGGAGTTAACCGAGGGAGTCTATTTTCTGTGATTTTTGTAGTTCATAAATGTTAGTGGATGATTGTTTTTTAAATGCTCAAAAGAAATTATTGCTGGAATGGGAAGTTTATTTCAGATGTTTTTGTATGGTTTAGTGAATGACAGTTGGTTGCTTAAAGTGCATTTCGATGGTATATGGTACAATGTTATTTCATCCCCTTCAAACTCCAACTGCTACATGATGCATATAGCTGCAAGTAAAAATAGTGAATTTCTGCTGCAATAATTGCGGAAATGATCAGAAATATGAAATACTGATTTTTTGTGTCATAATCAGGTTGTATGTGGGAGTTGAGATAGTGAAATATGGCACAAACTGCACATTCAATATATTTTTCCCACGGTAAAAGTGTCAAAGTGCCATGTAGAACATCAGGACTTACTAGTAATGAAAGGTTTCACAGGAGGCCAATAGCTTATTCTCATTGCACAGTGCTAGTGAAAATTCAATCCGGTGGCAGAAAGTCAAGGTACTCCCAGTTAATTAAGTTGAATACAAATTATTCTACATCAGAGTTAAGATGTTCAAATCAGCTGTCAAGAAGAAAAGAGGTGAATTTCTCATCGAATAGCAGCAATAGAAGAACAGCTAAGGTAGTATTGTTTTCTTAATGTGCAGTTCTTTACTAGTTGACAACATTCTGTTTCATTTTATATTCATATCTTTTTTACTTTTCATCTTCTTCTTTCCCCTTTCCCCTTTGAGTCTTCTTTAAGGCAGAAGATTCATCCGTATTTTTGGTGCCTACCATATCAAATATCTTAGAACAATGGAGCAATTCACAGATTGTGAAAGTAGTTGGACTGCTTGCATGTGCATACTTGGTGATTCCATCAGCCGGTGCTGTTGATGCTCTAAAAACGTGCTCTTGCTTGTTAAAGGAGTGCAGGTATTCAATCGAATTAAGTGGAACTGTTTTCTTATTTTGTAGTTGGTGTCTCATGCTTTTAACTTCAGCTCATTAAAACATTATTACAAGATATACTACTGCACTAGAGTCTTGCTAATAATATTCCTGTTTTCTTAGTTTTACCCTGTCAAAAGCATTGGAAAGGAATTGCTTAGGAGGTGCCTTTTACTGCATAAATTGTTCACTGAAGGCCTAGTTATTTTTCTTGTTTTCCTTTATTTCTGTTTTTTTTTTTCTTCCCTTTTATTTGTTGGGGTTGCTCCATTTCATCTGATACAGTTTCCCACATTTTTGCTTCTTTGAGATTGTAATCTATCCTTCAGTAAACAGTGTGTGAAACACAATAAAGTGTGTGAAACACTGATAGGTAAGGAGATCTATCTTTGAACCACCACCAGTGAGTGTAACTATCAATTTTCATTCATCAGATATGTTATACAACTCCAGAACAGAATTAAATCTTTAATTTATTTTTTCTTTCAGCTTTATACCGACCTCTGCAGATTATTTTAGGTTGCCATTCTAAGTCTATAAAGATAAAAGTTGTCCCTCTTCTAACTTGATGCACAATATTTTTCTTGTCAGGATAGAACTTGCTAAGTGCATTTCCAACCCTTCATGTGCTGCAAATGTTGCTTGCCTCCAGACCTGCAATGATAGGCCGGATGAAACTGAATGCCAGGTTAGTTCTGTATATTTCTTGTAAATAATGTATGTCTAATGATGAGGCAGTTTCTGCCTAAGGGATATATATGATATATATTATGCTTTACAGGCTTATTTGTATTGGAACTTTTGCAGATTAAATGCGGGGACCTCTTTGAGAACAGCGTTGTAGATGAATTTAATGAGTGCGCTGTCTCACGCAAGAAGTGTGTGCCTCAGAAATCCGATGTGGGGGAATTTCCAGTCCCCAATCCTGGTGTTCTTGTTGAAAACTTCAACATTGCAGATTTCAGTGGGAAGTGGTTCATAAGTAGTGGCTTAAATCCTACCTTTGACACTTTTAACTGCCAGCTACACGAATTCCATACAGAAGGTGGCAAACTGTTAGGGAATTTGTCTTGGAGAATACGAACACCAGATGGTGGCTTTTTCACTCGATCAACTATGCAGAGATTTGTGCAAGATCCAAACCACCCTGGGATTCTTTACAATCATGACAATGAGTACCTTCACTATCAAGATGACTGGTAACTTCTGTTCCCATATATATCCTTTAAGTTATACCACTTCCAAACAAAACTTTTCAGAATGGGTACAAATATTGACCCCTGGCTTACAGCTACTAAGATATCTTTTAAGTATATCCTGAATATTAATTATTCAGTCACATTTGAGGTTATTAATTGGACGAAATAACTAGCAAGAAAGTTTGATTTGAGCTAGTATCACATTCATGTTTCCTGTGGGTCTGCTTTCTTGTTTTGATAGCAGAAAGCATTTCACATATATGTTAAACCACTTGATACCACTATCACCACTGGATGACACCAAGGCAGAAGCATTTCACATATATGTGCTTAAAATTATAATCTGATGCTACCTGAAGGTAAAATATAATGAAATGAATCATCTGCTAGCTTGGTATTTCTGCGTTGCTAGGGGGCATGAATAAATTATTTTGAAGAAAAAACAAAAGTGATAAAGCAAGATGTTCAAAACATATTTTCTGGATTAAAGTATATAGAAAGGAGGGTAGGAGAACAAATTTGATGACAGCAAGAAAGTTCAGCAGTACGAAAGCAGGATAGATGAGACGGAAATTCTTAGCTATGCAGTTTAATTTGGTTGCTAACTCCTCTTCCATATGCCACTTAACAGACAGATGCAGACTGAGATGCAGATTTTTGCTGTTTTTAGCCTCATAGTTGAGAGTTTATGGAAGCATTTATGGCACATACCTAGTGCTTTGCAAGTAGAACTTATTGTGCACTAGCATCATGCTTTTACGTGAAGAAAAAACTAGCAAACGCCATTAGTTATTATGGACAGAAACCTGTGTCAGTAGACACTTCAGTCACATAATACAATCACTACAGATTGAAATAATTTGAATAGTTGTAATTGAACTGCCCTCTATGCAAGTTTTCTGACTTTCTTTCTGTAGGTTAGGCCGTTTTCCTAATATCCTTGCTTTTGGACTCACCAGTTAATCAATATGCAGGTATATTATATCATCCAAAATAGAGAACAAACAGGATGATTATGTATTTGTATACTACCGGGGTAGGAATGATGCATGGGATGGGTATGGCGGTGCCGTTGTCTACACAAGAAGTGCTGTTTTGCCTGAAAGCATTGTACCTGAACTTGAAAGGGCAGCTAAAAACGTTGGGCGAGATTTTAACAAATTCATCAAAACAGATAATACTTGTGGTCCAGAGCCTCCCCTTGTAGAAAGACTTGAAAAGAAAGTAGAGGAAGGAGAGCAGACCCTCATAAGAGAAGTTGAACAGATTGAAGGGGAGGTAGAGAAGGAGGTAGAGAGGGTTGAGAAGACTGAAAGGACCTTGTTTCAGATGTTGGCAGAAGGTTTTAAAGAGCTGCAACAAGATGAAGAAAACTTCTTAAGGGGGCTAAGTAAAGAAGAAATGGAGCTGTTGAGCAAGTTGAAAATGGAAGCAAGCGAAGTGGAGAAACTCTTCGGAGAAGCACTGCCACTTAGGAAACTAAGATAGGTTTCACAAGTTCAATAGTTAAATGACAATTTTTGTCAAAACTGTATAGCGTATATTGCAATAAGTGCGCACGGATGCTTTCTCAGTTCAACAGAAATTTCAGCTATTTTTCTCATTAATCATTTGTTTTTCTCATTAATCTTATCCTACTCTTTTCCTTTCTATGTTGTATTTTTTGTTTAACTTTTACAACCAAGCATTAAAAAAACTGGTGGGGAACATTTTCACAGTGTCTTGAGAGGAGATACCAACAATTGAATCAGTCACCAACTTTTCTTTTCTTCTATGAAATTTTTTATTCTTTAACCCCAAAATTTACACCTTAAGATATTTGAAACAAAAGGACAAAAGCAAACAAGATTCAGATTTGAGGAATTTGCAACACTTTGGTACCTTCCATTACACATTGAATTTTAAGAATCTCAACAATAAAAGAATGAAAGCAAATCTCAGTTCCAACATAAGGATTGTATCATTTCATCTCGTGCACACTCCAGATCATACATATCTCAAGGTGAAAGAAACCAGAAGGAATAACTGGACATTAAATCCTCTGTAAGACATCCCATTCAGGAACTACTGAAGCTAGTAGCAATTGGAATGACAATCACAAGAACAATCAGCAACAGAAGAATGATCCCAATGCACATACACTTCCTGCTGCTCCTCTGGTACTGTTTTGCCGTGTTGAGCTCTTTGGAACCAGCCTTCACATAATGGCTTGCGTTCATCACATGATGCTCAATATCATCCATTTGTTCTCCTTGTGCCTCCACCATCACTGCCATGTCCAAAAACACCTGGTGCAGCTCCAACAAGCTCTTCTCAATCTCTTTAGCGGCGTCATGCCTGTCCTGAATCTCAACCATTGTCTCCAACACCTTCCCACGTCCATGCTCTTGTATCGCACGCGTTAAGAACTCCTCGCCCCCATTACCATCAGAAATTATCTTCTCAATGATCTCTTCGTCAGGGCTCTGCCCAGTCACTGTAAAATACCTTCTCCCCACAGTTTCCTTGTACTCAGTCATCATCTTCTGCCTCAAGCCTTGAAAATCCATCATGAGCTCCTTTAACTTATTTCTCAAGCCATTAGTGACAGCAATCCTAGTCCTGTAAGCTAGGGTTCCTTCTTTGCAACCTGAGAGGCGCTTATTAGCAGCATTGGCACGATCCATTTCTTCAAGCTGTGCCTTGATAGTCCTGGCCTTCTTTTGCACAGTGACAATGTCACTGTTGATTTTGTTCCGCAAAGCCTTCAAGGACTCAGGTTTGTGGAGAGACTTGCTTTCTTCATTGGATTCTTGCAGCTTGCTCAAGAGTTCACGGATTACTGCCATCTCTTGCTTCACTTTCTCAGCTTCTTCAAGGAATAGTCCAAGGTTTTGGTCCATAGTGTTTCCTTTGGAGGACATTTCTAGATCATAGTCAGGTCCAGCTTCAAGATCTTTCATTGCCTCTTTCTTGAGGTCTACATAACTCATAAAGGATTTGGTCATCAGATCATTCATCTTTGCTATCTGAAATTTTCCTTAGAACCTAAAAGAACAAACCAAAAGAGAAAAAAAAATTCCTCACAATCAGATAAACCGTAAATACATGAAATAATCGTTACATTCATGAAAATGAACCCCAAAATTCCCAACAAACACTTTAAATATGTCATATCAGCTGCATAGTTGATACAAAAAAAAATTTCTATTTCAACATAAAAGAGCAATGAATTTTCCAACTTATGAAGTGGGTTTTCTCAAAATGAACCGAGAAAAAATGGTCAGCTTATCTTTTACTAAAAACATATATATATATATATATATATATATATGAACTGGTGAAATGGGTGTTCCCATACCTTGAATGCAGCAGCTGCCTGCTCTAGTTTAGCAGACAAAGCGAAAGATATATGGAAAGAATTTGATTAATGGGACTTTGAAGATGAAAATTAGAGAGAAATTGAAGATGAAAATTGGAAAGAAATCTGAGATATCAGGTGTTTGAATTTGATTGTAAGCTGAGAGATAGCATTAAAAGAAGGGGAGTCTCACAGCAAAGAGAAGGCAACAAAAAAAGTAACCGTTACAGCTATGAGCTCCAGTACTCCAAACGGCTATATTTTGGGTGGCCGTTGTTTTAATTTTTTTTCCGTTTAAAATTGGGGCAGATTTCTAAATTTTCAGTTTTGGTGACTGCCTAAGCAAATATTAGACCAACGTAATCGGATCCAAGGAAATAAAACAATTATTATCGTGGATTAATTTAAACAATTTAAAATTAAACTCAAGTAATTTAAATAATTATTAAAAAATTAATAAATTTAAGATTTAAATTTAAATTCTTATAATTTTTTTCGTTATCCCTAAAAAACAATTTTTTTTACGACAAATGAAGTTTTATCTTATCAATGAATGGAAGGGAATAAAAAATTTACAAACGAGGCCACAAAAGTTGAGAGAATTGAAAAATAGAAATTTATTAGCTAATATTGAAAAAATCCAAATTAATTTCATACACTATTTTTGGACGGTGAGATTAGATTTTTTTTAAAGATTTTGTGATTGTTTTGTTAGGTATAATTGAGCGTGATATAATTTAAAATTTTAAAAATATGACACGTGTTTGAAGATATTATTCAGAAAAGGTTTTTTTTTTTAATGATTATTATTTTGGTAAAACGAATCTTACTTAGTGCACGAAACCTACCTTTGAAGTTTTCGCGGTGCGTTACGATGAGGATGGGAAAAGCACTCGCACTTCTACACTACTTTAAGTTTATTTGGTCCCGTTTTAATCTTGGATAGTTTCAGCGCTATTATAAATGTTTTGGTGTGTGAAAATCAATCTTATTCAGATAGTGTTGGTTCTCTAAATCTTAGGAATAAAAATATAAACCATCAATGTCTGTCAGTTTGAGTAATAAATAGTTTGAATTTTTTTAAATAAAATATTAATTTTAAATATTATAAATAAAAAAATAAATTTAAGTAAATTTATTTTTTATAAAATTCGATCTAACTCTAAATTAATTAAAATTTAATATAAAAAATAAATGTAAAAAATTATTTGTCATAAAAAAATCAAATTTAATTTAATTTTAAATTAATCAAAACTCAAAATAACAAAAAAAATTGACTTATTCATTTTTTTAATGATAAAAAAATACATAATTCATTATTATACGATTTTTTAAATATTTTACACATAAAGTCATAAAAATACTATCTAAATGATTTATTTCATATTACGATTGACGCTATTTGGAAAGTATATCATCAATAATCATTGTATATTGTAATTAATTAATTAATTAATTATAATTTAAATTTTTTTTAAATTTTATATGAAATTTATATTTTTATATAATTTTTATTAGCATAAATAATTATAAAATTATAATTAAAAATTATAAGTAGAATGCCCTTGTAAGTAGTAACTTCTGCTGGTATTTAAAAAAACCAATCGAAATCCCCCTCGCCTCTCAACTCTGCTTCTCTTATCCCATTCACTCTCTAAACCAAAATTTCTCTTGTAACAAAGCAAATCCCTCCTCCGAAAACCCGTCTTCCATTTGCGTGTTACTAAACATTTCTTTGAAAAAAATCCATCAAAGCTAACACAAAACCTTAACCATGGGTCCAATGAAGATTGCAATCGGGGACATGTTGATTACTTTTATGTGGGTTTTTTGTTCATCGATGTTTGGTTTGTTAACTTCTTTTGTAGCCACCGCCATTGGTGTCGAAACCGTAGCTTGGGCTTCTATTGTTATCATCACCGTCATCATTTTCGTTTTCGTTTCCATCTTTAATATTATCGGTGAATTTCTTGGTGGGGCTAGCTTTAATCCTACTGCTACAGCTTCCTTCTACGCCGCTGGTGTCGGTGACGATAGCCTTATTTCCATGGCCCTCCGGTTCCCAGCTCAGGTTAAACGAAATTTGTAATCTTTTTGTGTTTTTCATCGTGGGTTTTTCACTTTTTTGACGGAACTCTATTTGATTTAACCTGGATCCTGCTTTTTTTAATCTTTTTGGATCGAATTATATGATTCCTTTTGCTTTAATCTTATTGATCTTTTAACTGTTTGATAGGTAGTAATTGATTAATTCTGTAATTTTTTTTTTGCGGATCAGCATTAAATTCCTGAGAAATTCTTTTTTTTTTTTTTTTTTGTCCTGAGAAATTCTTAATTCTGCATGAAGAATATTTTTTTTTCTTTTTTTTGCCTTACCTGACACGATAGTAAACCAATAACAATATGCCATTGCCAGGTCAATGAGTGAAAATAGTTTACTCTCTCTCTCTTTTTTAAAGCTTTAGTTGTTTTCTTTGTTTTACTGTCAAATATTCATTATTTTTACTTACTTTTATTTTGTTGCGAGTCTTTTTTAGTGTGTGTGCGCCTTTTGCTCACATTGGTTTAGCATTCCTTTTGGTTTTTTATTTTTGATTTATTTTTAATTCCTTTTAAACTTTATAGCTCTACAGAGCAGTGAATGTGAAATGTTGCCCTGTCTATTCCTTTTTTCTTAAAGATTTTTTCACCTTTATTAAAGATATTTGTGTGCCAAAAAAATGGAAATTTAAATTGAACAATACAAATTTAGAATGTGAAATGTGAAATGTTGCCCTCTCTCTCTCTCTCTCTCTCTCTCTCTCTCTCTCTCTTTTAAAGCTTTAGTTGTTTTCTTTGTTTTACTTTCAAATATTCATTATTTTTAATTACTTTTATTTTGTTGCCAGACTTTTTTAGTGTGTGTGCGCCTTTTGCTCACATGGGTTTAGTATTCCTTTCGGCTTTTGATTTTTTTTTTTAATTTCCTTTTAAACATTATAACTCTACAAAGCAGTAAATGTGAAATGTTGCCCTGTCTATTCCTTTTTTCTTAAAGGTTTTTTCACCTTTATTAAAGATATTTGTGTGCCAAAAAAATGGAAATTTAAATTGAACAATACAAATTTAGAATGCTCATTTACCACAAAAGTGGTTACCGAACAGAATTATGCATTGCGAAGAACGAATCATGTTAAGTCTTTGCCTTGTTTTTCCTGTTTAGCACGAGAGTAATGGCATCTTAAGCTGTTTGAAAACAATTTAAACATCTAGCTAAAATGTTAAGATACATTACTGAAAATAAAATGCCTCACTGGCAGGCTGCAGGTGCCGTGGGTGGTGCCTTGGCGATCATGGAGGTCATGTCGGAACAGTACAAGCACATGATAGGGGGACCATCTTTGAAAGTGGATACACACACCGGAGCCATTGCTGAGGGGGTCTTGACTTTTATAATTACCTTTTGTGTTCTTTTAATCATTCTTAGAGGTCCGCAGAGTACAATATTTAAGACATGGTTGCTTGCCATTGCGACTGTAGCATTAGTCATGTCGGGTACTGCTTACACTGGACCTTCCATGAATCCTGCCAATGTAAGTTAACCTTTTTTATTTCCATATGTTGTTTTTCTTTTTAATCGTGTTTAAACCACATTCTGCTGTGATAATAGTAAGTTTTTTATACTTTTCTGTCATTGTTTCATTTATGTACTATAAATGCTACACAAGTTTATTCCTTTTGGAAGCACCTGAAGTATACGCGGTTGTTTATATTTCCAACTAGGGATATGTCTGGCTTGCTTGTTAGTACGTCATTGAGTTTAGATTCTTTGGAAAATGATTGTACTCTGCCCATCCCTCTTGTCTTGGTGCTTTTGTAATATTTGTTTGTATTGGACTGCTTCTTCTGAACATGTGCTCATGATTCAATCTTGGAAAGCTAGTCCCTGTTAGTCTCCTGCCCCACAGCCAACCTTTTTGATAATTAGTGAAAGATCAGAGAAGATTTCTTGTCCTGTTCTGTATGTAGACTTAAGTTTCTGCTATTTTCTGGATCATAGTAATTTAAGGTTATAACATTGTCATGTGGTTTAAGTATAAGCAATTGCCATTGTCAATATGCTTTTTCAAGCATAATGATTAATGCATGCCAGTCTATTGGATGCAATTGCATGTTGTGGTCAATTTAAATATAAGCAAATAGCCTAGACTCGTTTTTGTTGCTTCCATTCGTGTTCGTTCTTTTGGTGACTTTGCCCTTTTTCTTCCTTATTGCATCTTTTCTATGAGTCCTGATTACACTTCCTATTCGATAAAGTTATTCTTTAATGCAGTTATGCATCCTATTAATTATGTATTTACTGACTTTTCATCAATTCTTTAAATTTATAAGTTCATAACTGGTCATTTCTTACTTTTCTTTTTAAAAGTAATTTTAAACCCTAAGTAATTGCATTACTAATGGTGAATCATGTTGCAGGCCTTTGGTTGGGCATATGTAAACAACTGGCACAGCACATGGGATCAGTTTTATGTTTATTGGATCTGTCCATTCATTGGAGCTATATTGGCTGCATGGGTCTTTCGACTCTTCTTCCCCCCACCGCCAGTGAAGGTGAAGAAAGCCTAAGGTGGTTTTAATAAGGTTCGTGTGGCCATCAACAACAATATATAAGCTAAATGTTTATGTAATAAACAATTCTTTTTTCAATTTGGCTAGTCTGACTATCAGTTTCTCCCATTTATTTGTGGATATTATTAATGAAACATTCTTGCTGTGTAGTGCCTTTTTTTCTGCATTCTCTTGTTTGCTTGGCTGCAAATGTCGTGGAAATCTCTTACCAATCCTCCTTTCTTTTCTGTTTTAGTAATCAGGTTGAGCTTTTCCCGGATGAATAATCCTATGTTCCTTCTACTCTTTAATTTTCTCAAAACATCTGTGTTCAACCATCTATGGCAAAGGTTTTGGGAAAACTTATACTTGTGTTGATGCATATGTCACGGGCTTCGGTCTTACGCCTAGGTATTGTGCGGCTTTAGACAGGAAATTACCGTCTGTATGAAGCTTCCGGCTTGTGACACATACATATGTTTTGAGATTCGCCGTCCCAGCGACACAGAACATGATGCTAGTGCAGGACTCAGCTCATGCAAAACTGCAAGTTCTGCATGCATGAATTTGTAGAGAATTGGTTCTTAAATAACCTAGTAGTATCGTAAGTTTGAAAGAGTCGAGTAAAAGCATTATCTTCTGGGAAGTTACTGTAGCATGTGAGTCAGCATACTTTGTCAAGACTCATGATCGAAAGGAAAAAGAATTCTTAGTGTGTTTTAGTTGATTATGCGATTTTAAACACGATATGAAACGTGAAAAAAAAATGAAAATCATATAATATAAAATTTGATAAAAAAAAAAAATATAATACCAAATTTATATGATTTAAAATATTAATAAAAATTATATATTAATTTGATTAAAATAAAAAATATATATTTGGTATTTTATGTATTTATATGAATTTTTATATTTTATATAAATTAAATATAAAATAAACAAATATAGATACATAAATCATCTGATTTATATTTTAATTTGTAATATTTATAATTTAATAAAAACATATTTACAAGAGTATGTACCTACTATTGGTTTATCAAATTATTAAGTGAAATCATATTTATAAATGATAAATTTTAAATCACTTTGAAGTAAACAAAACAAAAATAAATTGCAAAAATTTGTTTTATTACAAAAATTAATTTTTTTAATTTTTTAAAAACATATTTTTGTAATAAATTAAATACAAAAATATGCATGGGAATTATCACCGATCTCTTAGCACTAATTACAAAAATAAATTTTTAATATAAATTTTTATTGTATCTAAAAGTTTTTTTTTTTGAAAAAAAATTACTGTATCTTTTTTTACTTGGGATTCTCACCAAAAAATTATAGTCCAAAATATAAAACCTTAAAAAAGATTCCTTTGCATTTCCACTTTCTTTGCCTCTCCCAATTCTTTCAAAATCACTTCTTAATTTCACAGATTAAATTTTTTTAATTTTTAATTTTTGAATTTGAGGTTGACATTCCTATAAATTCGAAAATTCCGAAATTTAGAAACCTGGAAGGTCTGGAGCCATTACCGGCTTCCTCCGGCAACGGCCAGATCCGGTACCGAACACCATCCTCAGCCGAGCTCCTTGAGTCCGTTCCAAACGGAAGCTCAATATCCCCGACCGGAAACGTTACCTCCGATAGCCTCGAAAAGATTATGAAGCGTTCAATGACGAGGCACGAGTCCATCTCCGACAAAATCCACAAATACCGAGGTGTTTTGCTGGTCATCTCCATCCCTATCGTGCTTATAACGTTCGTGTTGTACGTAATGCCGGGGAAATCGGCGTCTGATACGTCCGTGCTGGAGGAGATCGAGATAAATAGCAGGAAAGTAGGGGCTTCGAGAGGCAATAGGAATTATGCTGTGATTTTCGATGCGGGGAGTTCAGGGAGTCGAGTTCATGTTTATTGTTTTGATCAGAATTTGGATCTTGTTCCAATTGGCTCTGAATTAGAGCTTTTTGAACAGGTAATTTCTTTTTTACATTTTTTAATATTTTTTTTATATTTACTTTGGAATGTAGCTTTGGAAAATGATAATTTGAATGGTAATGTACTAGTGTTTTTTAATAGATTTGCTTGGAATTAGAGCTTTTTGAAATGTTAACTTCCTTTTTATGATTTTTTTTTTATAACTTTGTTTATATTTTAGAAGGGAATATATATATTTGGAATGCTAATTAATGTAAGTAGAAATTTTGTAGTAGTATAATATTTTGCTTCTTTTTTTACCAATTTTTTACTGTATTAGTGGCATTAATTTAATATTTTAAGCTCGAATTTCCTAGATTTTTGAAGTAGGATTTAATTTTATACTATTTATACTATTTTGTTTAATTTTAGAAGTAAAATACTTAAATTTGGAATTTTTGGAGAGAAATGAAGCTTTGAAATGGAAATTCAAGTGCTAACTTAATACAGTAATCTTCCTTTTTTGAGGCTGGTTTCTGTTATTATTCTAGTGGAATTTATATGATATTTTCTATTTTGTTTTTTCTCCCTTTTTGTTGATATTTAGAAGTGAAAAATTAGATTGCTAGGAATGTGAATTCGAGGATATAGTTGTGAATCTAAATCTGGAATTTGGGTGAGAAGTGTAGCTTTAATGGTAATTCAATAGTATAATCCTTCCTTTTTTTTTTTCTCTAGATTTTGTAAAAGAGTATTTATATTAGTGGCCTTTATGTGATATTTGTGTCACAGTTTGGTTCAAATACTTTAAAGTAAGATTTTACATTGTATGCTCTAAAAGAGAAATTTACTTGGATTTGAATAAAAAGAGAAGCTTCTAGCATCAATTGGTTGATATTTTTCAAGGTGCCATTTTATTTGTATGCTCTGGAAGAAATTTTTTCTTGAATTTTATGGACTGTATTACATGTATTAATTGGTTTTCTGTGGTTTGATATGTTGTAGCTCAAACCAGGTTTGAGCTACTATGCAAAAGATCCGCAGGCTGCAGCGAATTCATTACATTCTCTTCTTGACAAGGCAGAAAGTGTTGTGCCACTAGATTTGAGATCAAAGACTCCTGTCAGAGTTGGGGTAGGTAGACATAGATGCATCATGCATGCTTATTTGTGAGCTATATGAGCTTCTTAAATTGCTGAAAAAATGGGACTTGGAATGTTTTGCAGGCAACTGCTGGTCTGAGGGCATTAGAAGGCGATGCATCTGATAGAATTTTGCAAGCGGTAATTTTACTTTTGGAAGCATTTTGATTATGTTCACAGGTTTTATTTTGTCATTTCCTTGTGCTAATGTGTTTTTAAATAACTTGTATAGGTTAGTGAACTTCTGAAAGATAGAAGCACCCTCAAATCTGAGGTAAATGGGGTCAGAATTCTGGATGGCTCTCAAGAAGGTTCTTATGAATGGGTATGTTATGCTGAATTTCATATACTTTTTATACTATGTTTTTAATGTGGGCCTAAAGTAATTTTGCTTTTCAAGCATGGTTATAGGAAAAATATGCTACCAAGCCAGCAGCAGAATGGATTTTAATGCATGCTTGATCAGGCTTCTTTTTGTTGTGTAGATTGTAATCAAATTTTACATTATTCCTAGGACATCTTACATACTGTAACTGGTCAGCATGATCAGTCTTAATCAAGATGATTTCATGGGGAAGATCAATTCAAGGGGGGAAATCCTTGGGGTCATCTCTGGGTAATCAAGGGAAATACTCTAAAGCTAGGGTCATATAGATACATAGATATATTTTGCCTTAGAAGCAAGTATTTACATTTCACAATGATGTTAAACTTTTCTTCATTTATAGGGAGTAACACACTGTCAAAGATCAAGATCCATTGCAAATTTTCCCACTGGTTGGGCCAATGGACCTAATTTGGGACTTTCTTAACTGTCATCTTTTGCAGGTGACAATAAATTACCTATTAGGGAATTTGGGACGAATATATGGAGACACAGTTGGCATAGTCGATCTTGGTGGTGGATCTGTTCAAATGGCATATGCCATCTCCAAGAATACTGCTTCAAAGGCTCCAAGTGTCCCAGCTGGAGAGGATAATTATGTACATGAAATGTATCTGAAGGGATCAAAATATCATCTCTATGTTCATAGGTCTCCCTCTTTCATTTTGACAATTTAATTTTATGATTCTATTAGTGATTTGAAATGGACAAAAAAAAGAGAAATTTTATGGCTTGCGATTCCTACAGCTGTCAATTTTATCAGATGTTTCTTTATTTGGTAATTTTTATAATTCTGTAGTCTCATGAAAATCCATTTTTATTCATAATTTTATGTTTTATTTAATATAGTTTTTCCTTTTGCATACAGTTATTTGCACTATGGCTTATTGGCAGCTCGAGCTGAAATTTTGAATGTCTCTAAAGATTCTGGCAACCCTTGCATCCTGGAGGGTTTTGATGGTATGTCTAAATTCTTTCAATAGGGACTTTTAACTCTTCAAAGAGCTTTTCTTTTTGGGCTGCATATGACAGTTTGCTTGACAGACTCAATATCTAAGGTTTTTTAATGCTTTGATCACTGAAAATTTGTGATCTTCGGCAATTGGCTGTACAGGCAATCAGCTTCCTACTGAAAAGTGTAGTTCATCTCTATTCCTAATGTTTGAATGCTCTGAAGTTTGAGTAGTTATAACGTCCTTTATTCTTTGGTTGGCAGAATATGTGCCATTTAAGTACGTAACATATTCGGCATTTTATCTTTCTAAGGTACTTACCAATATGGAGGAGAAGAATATAAAGCATCAGCTCCTTCATCAGGCACAAGCATGGAAGAATGCTGGAGGGTGACTCTCAAGGCTCTCAAAGTAAATGATACATGTAAACATATGAAGTGCACATTTGGTGGTGTATGGAACGGTGGAGGTGGAGATGGACAGAAGAATCTCTTTGTTGCTTCTTTTTTCTTTGACAGGGCTGCCGAGGTATTGCTCAAAGAATTTTGATACCTGAAATAAACTATGGAAGAAACTGATTATAGCTGTTCTAACTAAATTGTTTATGAATACAGGCTGGTTTTATTAAAGCCACTGATCCTGTTGCAAAAGTTCATCCTCATTCGTTTGCAGATGCTGCTAAACGCGCTTGTGAAACCAAGTACGCGGATGCTAGAGCAACATATCCAAATGTGGGCGAGAGTAACCTGGCATATATTTGCATGGATCTAGTTTACGAGTACACTCTGCTCGTCAATGGATTTGGTAAGTCTATACTCTATCTTTGATTCGGTTATGCAACTTCATTCTGCAGACCCTATTAAAAGGGAATCTTAGGATTGTCATCATCCCACGTTGTCTTTTCTCGGACAGGCCTTGATCCTTACCAAAATATTACATTGGTGAAGAAAGTGAAATACCGCAATTCCCTCGTCGAAGCTGCTTGGCCACTAGGCAGTGCCATTGAGGCCGTATCATCATGAAGTAAAATTCCAAGTCATGCAGCTTGTAATCACTCACTGGAAATTTTCATGGCTTCTGGTAATTGAATGAAGTGAGCAGCATGTTCATACTTGAAATCGGATTTTGGAGGGAATGATGGAAGTGAGAAGAGTTTCATTTATCTTCTTTTGTAATTACATTATTTCTAATTGTTCTGATTTTTATAATTTTTGTGAGAGATTTAATTGAATTAGTTCATTATACACACACTAGGGCTGTGAGAAGAAAGAAACAAAGAAAATTGACAAAACCAAATCAAACTAAAATGTTATTTGATTAATTCTGTCATGTTTATGTTACACTTTTCAATTTCATTTCTTTCTTTTTTGAAATTTAAAAAATAATATTATGAAATAAAATACATTATTATAAAATATATAATCTATTTAGATAAATATATAAGCATGGTACATTTATCATGTAAAAATAAAATAATTAGTTTTCTTTAGAAGAAAATAAAAAAGTTTAAAATCATTTTTAACATTAAAGTTAAAAGTAATTAATATTAATTATAAAATTTTTATTATTTATCATCAAGAAATTAATAGTTAAATTATATGTTTTCATTTTTTAAATATATTATTTAATTATATATTTATTTTATTTAATTGAATCTATACTTTTAATAAAAATAAAAAGATAATTAAAGGGGAAGTTAGATAATAAAGCTTGATTAATTGTATTTAAAAAAAAAAAAAAACTTGATTAATTGTTTAATCACGTGCGGGAATAAGAGACACGTGTGGTTTGGGAGATGGGAAAATTATCTCCCTCCCGAGTCCTCACCTGAGATATATAACGCGCAAGGAAGAAGGAAAGTGGGGGGGTTAGAAAAACAAAGAAAGCTTGATTCAAAGCAAGAGAATTTTATTTCACTTTCAGAGTTAAATTGTTGAAACGGAAAGTAGAAAAATATTTCTCTCCTCTTATGATTACCCAGCCAGCATAGTTCTCTTCATGTAGTCATTCTCTCAAACACTTTGTAAACAAGCTAGAAATGTGGCGAGTCAGGTTTACAAGATCAAAACTTTATGTTTTTTCAATTTTTGCAAATACCCATTTGAAAGCAATGCATTTAAAACCAACCCAGTATCAAAATCCCATCTTTGGGACAGTTGGAACAACAACAAAAACGATAGCTATTACCAACCCCTTGAATATTTGCTTCCCATTTCAGTTATCCTCTTTTTGCACTTCAAATATTGATTTCCCAAGTGAATCGAAGGTTGAAACTTTTGATAATGATGATGATAATGGTGAAGATAGTGAGGATTTTGATGGCAATAGTGTAAATGGATTGAGTTTAAGCAATGAGGGTGTTACTCAGGATGTGAAGGTAATTATGGACTTAATCCATGAAACAGGTAGTAATTATGTTGAAATGAAGAATAAGCTTGAGCAATGTGGTGTAAAGGTTTCGTCTGAGTTGGTGGTGGAGGTTCTTTCTCGGGTTCGAAATGATTGGGAAGTGGCGTTTACATTCTTTTCATGGGCTGGGAAGCAGCCGAATTATGCTCATTCTTTGCGTGAATATCATTCAATGATTTCTATTCTAGGGAAGATGAGGAAGTTTGATACTGCATGGGCGTTGATAGATGAAATGAGAGGAGGGCGAGCAGGGCCGTGTCTCGTGACACCACAGACTCTCTTGATCATGATAAGGCGTTACTGTGCTGTGCATGATGTGGGAAGAGCTATAAATACGTTTTATGCCTATAAAAAGTTTAAATTTGTTGTGGGAATTGAGGAGTTTCAGAGTCTGTTGTCTGCCCTTTGTCGATACAAAAATGTGCAGGATGCTGAGCATCTGATGTTTTGTAACAGGGATGTCTTCCCGTTTAATACCAAGAGTTTTAATATTATACTGAACGGATGGTGTAATATGATTGGTAGTCCACGTGAGGCAGAGAGGGTTTGGAGGGAGATGAGCAAGAGAGGTGTTCGACATGATGTTGTTTCATATTCAAGTGTCATGACCTGCTACTCAAAATCCTCTAATCTTTACAAGGTACTGAAGCTCTTCAGCCAGATGAAATTAATGGGGATTGAACCAGATAGGAAGGTTTACAATGCAGTAATCCATGCTCTTGCAAAGGCTAGGCATGTAAAAGAAGCTATCAATCTTCTGAAAACTATGGAAGAAAAAGGTATTGCTCCGACTGTTGTTACTTATAATTCACTGATCAAGCCTCTATGCAAAGCCCTGAAGATAGATGAGGCTAGACAAGTCTTTGACGAGATGTTGCAGAGGGGCCTCTCACCTACAATTCCAACCTACCATGCTTTCTTTCGCATTACAAGAAATGGGGAAGAAGTATTTGAGCTCTTGGAGAAGATGAGAAATATGGGCTGTCAACCATCCAATGATACCTATATCCTTCTGATACGAAAATTTAGTCGATGGTGCCAGTTTGATAATGTCTTCAAGTTGTGGAATGAGATGACTGAAAAGGGAGTTGGTCATGACCGTAGCTCATATATTGTGTTGATTCATGGGCTATTTTTAAATGGAAAGCTGGATGAAGCATACAAATATTATATGGAGATGAAGGAAAAGCAGTTATTGCCGGAACCAAGGACAGATGAGATGCTTAAGACTTGGGTTTCTAGTAAGCAATTGGCAGAGCGAAAAATGGCTGATCTGAAGAATAACCAATTGCTAGATAATCAGTTGGACAACCAAATTAGAGTTGAATCAAAGAAATTTGATCAGGAGAAAGATTTTCTCAAGCAACCTGAAACCAGAAGAGTTGTCAGAGAAAGGGGCTTTTCGTTTTGGGAGCAATAGGTCTGCATGATACCATAAAACTCCACATTTCGTGCTTTGTGTATGGGAGTCTAGGCTTCAACGCTGAGATTCCTTTGGATACCATCCGGTGCATGACATTCTCCATCACCAACGGCAATACAGGATGCATCATCACCTTGCAACTATTTGATAATACTGTCTAATATTGTGGTTGAGAACATTCTTTTTGAATCATGAATAACTGATTCTGAACATGCATTGGTTTTGAATTAATTGGTTGCTACCCCTTGAATGGCATCTGTACATCAACTTGAAATGCACATTATCCTTTTATGGATGGTAAGATGTTATTGTGCTGCTTATCACAACTGTTTCTGGATCTATATTTGGCCTGATTTGAGCTATGATTTTTCCTGTAACTAACTTATAACTTGTGGCTACTAAGTCCTATGGGCATAGAGCGAGAGGGCTAGCACAAATATTGCTCCTGGCAAAAGAAGAAATGGATACCGTTTGCTAGATATCTTTAGCTCTACTTTTGCAATATTTTAGCCACGAGTGCCAAGTTTCTGGATTCTTGCAGTTCCTTTGTCGTGAGCTCATCACTGTCATGCAGATCATACTGCTCCTAGTAGTACAACTTTCTGTAAGACATTCTTGGCACTAATTTTGAGTTGCATTTTCATATTTTATGCTTGGTAGCATACCATGAGACAAGCAGTTAGGCCTTGTTGTCTTTTGTGTCATTTTGTTTGGCCTTGAAAGAAAAAGGTTTTAGAAAGCATTGGAGATGTGGAAATTAGAATTGCTTTGAAACCTTTCAATGAAAGTTTGCACTACTTTTTAACTTGGAATTATGAATCATTGTGAATGATTCCCAGAACTCATGAAATTCTTTATACTAAATATTTTCATAGTAGCCACTCTTCAGGATCTATGAGATGCCTATTATACATAGTTCAGTATCTCTATAATATCTTTGGATCAATAAAATTTCAGATTTATCTGAGGTAAAAAGGGAATTTAGATGAAGAAACCTTTTTCAATGTGGTGGAAATTCTTATAAATGAGCTATTTAGGTTTTTATTTTTTTTATGCTGTTGTCTTATATGTGATATGGCCAATCACACTAAGATGTATTTTATATGTGCCTAAGCAGTCGTTACTGGAACATGTGGAAATATTCATAAATAAGTTCTATTTCTGCAAGGCCTGGCTGAAACTCATGAAACAGTGATTCTGCTTTAGCTAATGGCTCTCATATTAGATATATGGTTGTGCTTGTCTACAAGTCATCTTGACTTTACTAAGTATTAGTCAGCCTGATAGATGCAATTCTACCATTTGTGACTCCACTGGTGATATGTGAAAATTAAGATGACATGTAAAAAAACTTATCATGTGCCTAATTATGAATGGAAGTGATATTTTTCTAACATAAATTACCATTTTGTGACAATACTTTCTTGATTTGGCTCCACAATTCGCATCTCGTGTTTGTAGAATTTTTCTGAATATTTGAAGATACCCTTTAAAAATTTCGTTGTAGCAATTTTGTAGGATGTAGGAATAGACACTTTGAAGGACACGTGCAGACAGCAATGATAAAAAATTTAAAAAATACTACAATATTTTTTTATTATCTGATTGACTTCTTGGTTTCTTTGTTGAATAAAGTGTCCTAATCTCTTGCTAAATTTGTTAAGGTTGAGTACCAATGTCATTCTCTTGCTGAAGACATTAAAATTATGCTTAAGAAATTAAATATCTCTGGCCAGTGATCGTTCTTTGATGGTGATTCTGCATCGGACCATTATTCTATACACAGCTGGTGGAATTAGCAAGTTTAAAATATTGTCACTTGTCCCATTATTTATATTGTTAATTTATTCAAATGTATCCTAATAGGGCATTGGTAACCATCTAACCCCGATGGTGGAGTTTAAAAACTCCATTGGCAGTGTATTAGATGGTTTCCCCTTCTGCATATTGTTGTCTGGAAGACTAATATAGCTCCTCCCATTCCTTTGTTCCTCTTTGGCTTTGACCTAGCATTACGTGTGTCATTATGAAGTCTGTAATCTCCTAGGGTTTTTCATATGTCTTACTATAAATCAAATTGCTTCTCTTCCCTCTACTCCTATTGCATTGAGGGAAAAATGATAGAGTCTGTAATCAGATTGTACCCAATCTCCTATAGTTCATTTGCATCCTTACTTTAAATCAGTTGGTTTAATGGAGAGTAATTGAGATTTGTTTGTTAAAATCTTATTAATTAACATGTAAATTTTTGTGTATATGCATATAGAGATTTATGGATTTACATATTGAGACAGTAGCTATTTTGCGTATTCTCACACTAATAACTAGATTTTTTTTCACTCAACTGTATGAACACAGCATCTTTCAGGTTGCTAATTTATTTTCATCTCTTTCATACTTGTGTTTACTCTCTCAGGATCTCCAAATTCTTAATTCATCCACTTGCATTTTATAGGTGTGTTGTTTCTTGACTATAAACATTCATATACTGTTAATAGTCATTGACTTCTTGCCCATTTACAAATCCTTTAGTTTGAAAGGTCTTCCATCCAGCAAGGCATGTGCTAATGAGACTGATTAGTCAAGCGTAATATATGCTTTGCTAGTTTAAGCTGAGCAATCTATCTTCTGTTATTGGGAGAATTTTCTACAAATCTGATCTGATAATTGATGATTAAAAGTATGGATGTTGACATTTGACTTGAAATCAAGATCTCAAGCAGCCTGTTGAAATTAAGTTTATCTAATAATTACTAGCTTTTAGTTTTATTGCTGTTGAATTTGGTAGTGAAATTAAATGCTCATCAAAGCTACTTTGACATCTTGTAGCTTCATCATGGCCGAGCTGCCTAGTTGTCCCTACATTCTTTCACTTCATAGTAAGTAAACTTTTCTTTTTGCTTCTCAATTCCAATATCACATAAATTTAGCTGCTCAATGTGAACAGGAATGTGGATGAAGCAGCATTCCATGCTGCAAGGAAAATGGAAAAACGAGAATGAAAAGCTGAAGAAGAAAACTCTAGATTAGAATCTTTTTAACATATAGAAAACTCAAAGCATCTATTCTGGTGAGGCACTTATGGCTCAGAGAGAGTAGATGGTGGTCTGTGAGTTCTTGACTTTAGATTTAATTCCAAGTTAGGCCTAACTCATTATCTGGTGCGGTGTCTCAGATTGGAAAAACTGGTGCATTTCCACTGACATGAGATAACCACTAGCCTATAGATTAGGTGAACTACACGTGGAAAACTACAGGGGTCATTTTCATGACTTTTTCATACTTGGAACTTTGCTAGCTGATGCGTTTTCTTACATGCCATCCATTCCTTTGACTAGTCTAACTTGTGTGTTTGTATGATTATCCCATTCTCAGTTAATATCCCAAACAACTTGATGTAATGACTGATTGCACGTTCGTCTGGGGTCGGAGTTAAAGCTACCCTGGACCTATGATGATAAGCCAAGGATGAACTTTGAAAAGGTGGAGATAACCATGTGATTGCTTATCTTCTTTTCCACCATTAAATTACACTTAACTTTTTCTTCTCCTCACAGGCAAATCAAAAGTCAAGGTTCTCACAACTAAGTAGAGAGATGGTTTTGACCGTTGTTATCTGCAATCAAGAAGGTACAGCACCTTTGGTTTCTCATATTGGCTTGACTTATAGTTTTCGACTTTTTCTTTGATGTCTATCTACAAGCTGTGAAAATGGGAACTTTAAGGAAAATCATTGGCTACTTAATCAAGGGATGATATATACAATAAATTCATTGACATTTTGACACGTGAGTATTTGAATTTCAGCTGAGCAAGTTACCTAGTACATGGAAAGTAAAGGAGGTTGAGGGCAAGAAAGCTTGAATTGCCGGGTACTTTTGTTTTTCATCATACATGACATAAGATTCAAAGCATGAATCCTATTCTTTGCATGACAACAAACTGAACGTAAAGCTCATCAGGCCAAACAAAAGCATCTTTGAAGGATAAATATCAGCGTCTCAATAAAAGTTTTGTCGATAATCATAAACTTCTTTTCTCATTCTTATTGATTCTTTAGCATATTCTCCCAGACCCCCATCTCTCTACTTTTGTTTGTCTTATTAATCTTCCTTTTTGTCCAAATTTGGCACCTTCCTATTGAAGATCAACTACCTTTTGGCTCATTATATTATGGAACCCTTGAAGTCGTCTCCCCAGAAATAAGAAAATCATATTTTTTTTCTTGTCATTGTTCTTAGAAACCTGCCGTGCTAGTTTTGATTGCCAAGAAATCTCAAGGAATAATTAATTGCCACAGTTTTAAACTTTTAAAATCTTTTCTCAGGTCTTCCTTAGTAATCAAACAAAACACATATAGTTTCAAACTTAACTCCCCGTAGAATATCAATGCTGTTTTTTCCTAGTCCACATAAGACGCTATGGTTTGCTCCTTTTGACATTAAAATTTCAGCCCGTTTGCATAGGAAAGCAAACTTCTCTTAGTCTACCTCATTAAAAAATGAGATTGGATCCTAATGAAGGAAACTAAACTAGATTAATTGAGCACGTGATCGATTAAAAACCACGTAATTTGTCGAGTTTTTCACGAAAAAGTTGTTTTATGTGTTCTTAGTGATGTTCTTTTTTGTGGTTGAATTACCTATGTGCTTATATAATATACACCCGTCATTGTCCGGAATGAAGGAGTCATAACTTGCTATAAGTATGTCTGATAATTTAAACTATGATATGATTATATGATTTAAATATGTACGAAAATAGAACATGAAAATGATACGGCTTAAAATTTTAACAATAATTATATATGAATTTAATAAAACCAAAAAATAAATTTTATATTTTCATGTTAATATGAATTATGATATGTAATTTTTATGTAACATAAGACACGAATATATAAATTTAAATATTTTATATAATTTGGATATATAAATTATCAAATGTTAGTTATGACTCTTTGCTTTTTTTTTGGGGTAGGGACATTGAAGAGAGATTCTTGTTGGTACATGAATGTATGACTAAATCAAAAACTCACCCACCAAAAATGCACGTAATCCATGTCGTTTGCATCGTAGGTGTGTGGGAACATTATTCAAGGATTGACTTGGCTTTGTTTTTTCTTGTTTTTCTTTCAAGCTATTGGATTTCCCCTTGATGAATTATAAAAATGATGGTCATGTTTTCACATTGTATGGGAAAGAGGACTAGATAATATAATAAGAAAATTCAGGTAGACTTAGCTATTGCTTGAAACTATTGATTTCAGGGTGAGAGAGATTAGACGTGCGCGCCACATGCATTAGTCACTAATTAACTTTGATTAAGAGCTTGTTTGCCTCATGCTTATATAACTAATTAACCTTGATTAGGATCATGCTGACATAGCCAAGCATTAGAAAAAAAAAAAAAAACCAAGATAGGTTAGGTTTTAGATATAGTCCAAAATTCTATAATTAAAAAATAAAAAATAATAGATACTGGTGGTTATCCAGGTCAAAATTTTAGGTTTGATTTAGATGCATGATAAAAATTTTTTAATCATTGAAACTTTACGTTTTATAATTAAACTCTAAAAATTTAATCATAAAACATAAAATCTGGCGGTGGGACGATGGGAGGGTTCTGATCACGTGTTCAAATCTTAATTTTAGTAATTGCAGATCCCAAACGAAGTTTTGGGAATAATTAAAATAATAATTTGTAAGGTCCAGACGTCTCAAACAAATTAAGCTTAAAAAGGAATGTTAGCAATTTCTTGCTTTATATATATATTAAGTTGAGAGAGAACAAACTTGGATGTCTGTTTTAGAGACATAATCCTTTCATGTTTACACTAAAAAGTTATGTGAAATTCAGTTTACTACTTTGCCCAGTTTAAAAATTTTAAGAAGACATATGATTGAAGTTCGACTTCAGTCTTCTCTTTTCTCTTAATGTAGGATTCTATCTCCTATGACAAATAAAAAAAAAAAAAATTCTTAATCAAGAATGTTGGGGGCAGGTGCAAGAAATTTTATTATTAGAAGTTATAAATTATATCATTTGGTCTATTTTATTAATAAATAAATAAATAAATATAGTATAAGATATATGTAATGTGGATTGTGGATAAGCATTGAAGTAATAGTGCTACTAGTATTACTGTATTATTCGCACATCAGTTCCAATCATTTAAAACGTATTGAACACTCAAATCAATTGGTCTTCAATCCACTATTCTACCAAAAGTTGTGATTAAGATCTTTTGGTTTTTTTTTTTTCTCTATATATATGTAATTTGAAATAAATTGTTCTCCTTTCTAAGATTATATATAATTTTTACAATATAATCAAAAATATTTTATATTTTATCTGAATTTAATTTTACTTTTAAAACGATAATAAGGATGCACTCATTTGTATTGATAATAAAATCTTAACATATCTGTTGGTTACTTGTTTTGAATAAAAAAAAATGGTTGAAATGGTACTTTAATTTCTCAAAATTTCTGATTCAAATGGGAAATGTTCACAATTCAAATGATGGTCTTGAAACCTTTTGTCACTTAGGGAGTAAAGGACTACCATTCACTCATCAATCTATCACTTTAATCCACCGAACCCCAATTTTGACCAATCTTATCTGTCATCTCCAAACAGTACCTTCTCTCTTTTTTCTCCCACGGCCCTATCTTCAACAGCCTTACCCTTTTGTTTTTACCTTCCTTTTTATAACCATTTTAAAGGCAAACATCCTTGTAAAAATTGAAAATTAAAGAACAGGTAAAGAGTTGCACATATTTACGGCAACTATGATTAGGACTGCCACAACTATAACAACAACAACAGCAACACTTTTTTTTTTTTCTTCTGCAGTTGAAAAATTATTATATAAAGCATATTTACATCGACTAAAAATAATAGGGTTGTGAAATTTTATTTTGTTATAAATTTTTTGTTTATAAATTCACAAATATTAGCAAAATTTTATGGCATGTCAGATCTTAATTGAGTGAATTTATAATTAAGATAGTAGAAAAGAGGCATAGTGTGGGGAAAATGCTTTTATGAAAAATATATTTTTTAAATAAAAAATTATAAATATTAAAATTTACTTTAGTCTCACGCATGAAATGCCAAAACATTGGAAGATTGACACGTGGTGAGATTTATGAAATGACAACGATGTGTCATTAGATTAAGCTCATCCATGACCATGAATAAGCCGCCATCTTTTCCCATTCGTGGGAGAAGGTGAAGACAAGTCCAAAGGGAAACCAATAATGTTCAAGCCTCAACAGCTGGCACGCGTTGTGGGACCCTTTGAAATCCAAATTATGCAACTGGTGCCTTCCTTCCTTGGCCTAATCCCCTCCATTTTTTTTCTTTGTTTTTCCACATAACGACAAAAATCCTACCTCCATAAAAGGCCAACCCTTTATCCGCTCCCAAAAATTTCAATCTCCTTCTATCTCTTTGAGTTGGTTTTGGTTTTGCTTCCACCAAAACCAATCCTGGAGGGCTCTTCTTTGCTTCTTTCTTCTTGAATTCGAGCTTGTTATAGTCTATAACTTAGTTCAACTTGAATTATATTAAGCTTTGTCGAGTTAGTTTGATTCGAACATGAAGCACCCACAATCAAGTTTGCCTCCAGGGTTTAGGTTCCATCCTACAGATGAGGAACTCATCCTTCATTATCTAAAGAAGAAGGTGAGTTCCTCACCTTTCCCTGTTTCCATCATCGCCGATGTCGATATCTACAAGTTTGATCCCTGGGACTTACCAGGTGAGGTTTTCTTTAACAACCCTTTTCATGTTATCATCATTGGAAATCATAAAATAGCTTCTTAGAGTGTTTTTTGGTGTTGTTATTGTCATGTTAAGGCTTGCTTTGACGTGGAAATGTTATGTTTGTTGTTGTTTTTGATCAGCTAGAGCTGCCTTTGGTGAGAAAGAATGGTACTTTTTCAGTCCTAGAGACCGCAAGTACCCTAACGGTGCAAGGCCTAACAGGGCAGCTGCGTCCGGCTACTGGAAAGCAACTGGCACGGATAAGGTTATAGTTACATCTTCAATGGTAGCCGGAGGGGGTGGAGTGCAAGAGAATATTGGTGTAAAGAAAGCTCTGGTGTTTTACAAGGGAAGGCCTCCAAAGGGGATAAAGACTAATTGGATCATGCATGAATATCGCCTTGCTGAGAACCCTAACTCCAACTACAACAATAGGCCAGCGAAGTCTAAAGATTGCTCCATGAGGGTGAGTCTCATCTCTAAACAGTGCATTTGATTGTCATTAAAATTGAGTTGTTGCATCAAGAAAATTGACCTTTTATCATGAGTTAAGAGAAGGTTTTTGGAAACTATGATATACATCACTAGAAAAGGAAGTGAAAAATATAAAATGATGGCATTTTTGTAGGATCTTGAAAATTCAACTTATGCTGTGATAATTGTTATAACGACATTGATTTTTCCCCTTCAAAAAAAAAAATCAATGATTGCATTTTACGTAGTGGATTTATAACTTACATGACATGTAATGTGGTGCAATTCTAATTGAACCATTTATTCTTTACTTTATGTTCAAATGTACCCCTCAGCCCTGACATTTTCATTTACACATTCATGCCATCCTGTTCTGATTAATGTTCTTAAAAATGATATGTTCTAGTTAGGTTGGGGGTCTTAGGAGAACTCATTGGATGGCAATGGCATGCACATTTACTAAGAAAGTATTTAGATAAATGAAATATTGAAATCTTTTGGCAGGAATCTTGTGACTGATCTAAGTTTATTTCTCTGTTTTTTATTGTATTTTTTCAGTTAGATGATTGGGTTCTTTGCCGGATCTACAAGAAGTCCCATGCTTTATCTTCAACATCAACAGCAGCAACAAGTGATCTGGATCAAGAGGAAGAGGAAGCAGAACTGTTCATTCAGGATGCCCTTTTGCCTGCCCTGAAAAGTCCTCCAAGCAACAATACCCTCCAGCCTCAGAAATCCTGTTCCTTCTCCAACCTGTTAGATGCCGTGGACTACTCAATGCTGAGTAGCTTCCTCGCCGACAACCAATGCAACACAACTGCATATGAATCACCTTCTTTCAGCTTTGCGAACCTTGAACAGCTCCCGATCAATAACTACACCAATACCATCAACAGCGGCAGCATGTCGCTACAAAAGCTTCCCCAGTTGAGCTCTTCAGTTCCAAACATGGAAAACAAACTCAAGCGCCAGTACTCAAGCATTGATGAGGATTTCTTGCACCCATCAAAGAAACTTATCAGTTCTTGCAGTTACAGTAATAGCACCAGCCAAAATGACATGACTCAATACAACTTCCTAAGCCAGTCATTCTTCAACCAGAGTCTACTTTTAAGTCCTCACCTTCAATTCCAAGGATAAAAGGAAAATTTCTAAAATAAAAAAAAAAAAAAAAACAAAAAAAAGGTGGAATATGGAAAAGAAATGAAGCGGGAAGATGAAAAGAATAACCAACGATTGAGCTCGTCTAGCGTTGGTGAAGGTGTGAACAAAAGGAAGCGTGTTTGGTTTTTCTGTAGGAAAAATGATAAAACTTGGGTTAGAAACATTAAACTCCTTGGAGTGGTATCAAAAAGCTGATACCACTACATAGTCAAAAGATAATGGGAAAGAAATTGCAAAAGGAGTTAAAAAGGAATCATTCATGATTTTTGTAGAAAATTTTATGTAGTGGTGGAAATGGCAGATCAAATTCACACTTTGTAAATAGCGTGTTGTTTGAATTTGATGATTTGATGTATATTTTTTTTAATGAAAGAAAAGGAAAAAGGTTATTATTCTCAAGCGAATACTTTACTTTATATCACCAATTTTCCACACCAATTGTTGTGCCAAAGACAAGTGGAATCAAGATTGTCATTTCCCATCGAGTAAGAACACAAACAAGTTGAAGAACGTTTGGATGGGAATTGGATACTTAAATTCTTTTTATTATTATTTATTTATGAATGATCTGTTATACCCTATATTTCCCAATAATTAAACCCAAAATTTACATGGTGTTAATCAAATATTTCAATTAAAGACAAGAACCTACAAGATCTCTCTGGCCAGCCAAGTTAACAAGTAGGTACACTTCTTAGTTATGTTATTTTTTTGAGTTAAATTTAAAAATGTAAATAAATTCAAATATAAATGAATTTTATTAGATTTATGATTTGTTCGATTAATTAATAATTATAAAATATTATTCATAATCATTTGTTTAATTTAATAAACAAACAAAAATCGAATCTGTTTATCTAACATTCTATTTGCTTACACTCCTAATTAAATTTTTTTTATTCGTTTGATGCTCCGATAAGAGACAACTTAGGTAGCTGCCTCTTCACTAAAATACAACGAAATATGGGAGCAGTGACAAACAATGCAATACCCATCAAGCATTGAAGATTACAGGAATATCCTCTAATCTTGTTTCTATATTTGCTAATCTTGTCATTAGCAAACATTCAAGAAATGACATATAATGACATATGATTAGTTCCTAACTATAATTTATAGTAATTAAAGAAGAAATCTTGTTATAATCACACTAATTGTTCACATTTGCTTTGATTTGAGAAGATAGTAGATCGATTATGCTTGTAACTTAAGAAACGTCTAAATTATTGATGGGGCCTCCTTAAGAAAAGCTTGTGCAGAACATTGCTGGATACTGATATTCTTACTTTAATCAGTTCAAAGAGCTTACTTTACCCCCAAAACCCTCCATGGACTAACAGAAGAAACAGTAACTTTGTTTCCTATCTTCTTTGGTTCTATGCTTAAAAACAAGGGTAAATTTTACTTTCTACAAAATGGTTTAGGAGAAACTGAAAATTTACTACTAATTAGTTAATCCATAACTTAAAATGGGAAATTTAACAAAAAAACCACAATCATAAAAGTGTTAGTCTCAATCAAATGGGAAAGTTAGGCAGCATGATTGTAGACTTTTTTGGTACGAAGGATGCTATAGCTTGAGGATATGACAAGAGATTGCAAGTATTGAAATTTAAATTTGTTTAATACCACCTCCTAAGAGTTTTTGCATAAATCAAATTAGTTAAACTCCGAATTCATCTTACACCCTTTTTTTTACTATATAATTTAAGCTAAGTTATAGCTTTTTACTTTGCAACTGAAAAGTTTTCTTAAAACCTTATCAAGTTGAAAGGTTATAATTACTTAAAATAGTCATAGTTTATCTGGCTAGATTTGAGCAATTATTGCAGGCGGAAGCTTGTTATAGTAAAATTTTATCTGTTGCAGAATCTGAACTTATCTTCAATGTTTATATTACCTGAAAATGAACAAGAATAGTAGTCTAGAGTAGTAGCTGCAAGCCTGTAATGGCTTGTACAAGGAAATTTGTTTAAAACTGAGAGGATATGTTTAGGTTTGAAAAGTAAAAACAAACATGGAAAATGTATTTTCTTTTGTTTCATACCTTGGAGCCAGCCAGCCATTTCTTCTTTCACATGCCTAATAGTTGTCCAATTATTTGATGCCATTTCTTCTCTCAAATGCCAACTCCTCAACCAATAAAGCATCGTCAGTTTTAATATATTTCCCAGACCCAGCAACCAACTTGGCTTTATGATCTCGACCAATAACACCAGTGGCTGCTTTTCCAGTTTTTTTTTTTTCAAGAAACCAATCACTGTTAATTTTAATCCATCCTTCCATTAGAGGCTGCAACGATCTGAAACTATCATCCTGTGTCCAACTGCTTCCTGCTCTTACAATGAATTCTTCTTTTGTCTCTACCACATTTCAGTCATAGCCACATTGATATCATCACAAAGACTTATAGGCAACTTGTAAGTTGTAACAGGCCATATCATCGTCGACACTTGAAAGATGTGTAGACAATGATTTTGACAGTTAGGACCCTACAAAAAATTCTTATTGAGCATATGAATCATCATCGACACTTTAAAGATGAGTAGATAATAGTTCTTCATGAATAAAGAAGATAAATATATAAATGAAAACTTCAATAATACTAATGCAACAATTTATGTTTTCCTTTGTAATTAACATTCTACTAATTAGATATTTAGGTAGTTTAATATTTCTAATTTCCAAGTTAATTCAAGTTAGCTAATTTGGACTCAACATAATTGACGCCTATATAAAGAGAAAAAAGAACAAATTAAAACAAACAAATCTGGTCATTCTACAAAACTGGAGATGATAAAGAATAGCAGCTGCTTCTTGTTGTTTAGATCAAAATCAAACAAATGGAATTCCCTTTTGGTCATGGCCACTCTCACACTGATCACCACCATAGAAATGATGATCAAGAAAACCAAGAAAGACTAGCAGCACCACATCATCAACACCACGAATTTGATCCACCACGAAGCCATGTTATTAATGTGCACCATAGTGGTGGTGGTAGTCAGCAGCCTGAACTAAGTTCATTCAACTGCTCACAACATGTTACACACGTTGCTCATGAAAGTAGTCAAGAAAGCTTTGATGATCATCATCAAAGTAAAGGTCATCATTGTCTTAGACCCCACACGCCATCTTTTACTGATCACCTTCAGTCTTATTCTGGTTCTGCTTCTCAACTCTATGAGAAACGTACTGTTTGTTAGAATTGGGGGTTGGAAAAACTAAGAAATTGAAGAAAGGCTTCAAGACGTTTAATGGTATCACTATTTTTGAGATTTTATTTCCTATCACTTGATTAATTGGTATGCAAAAGAGTTACCAATGATAAAATTTGAAAATACAAGAAAACCCAATAATTCACTGCATTTTGCATTGACGAAATCAATTTCTTGAGTATTCACAAGCATAAAAATAGGATTATATACTACAGCAAAATGGCATATTAGCGGTAATTTTATAGGGGCCCTTCACTTACAAACGCCGTTACCTTCCGTGTTTTCATAAAACTTCAGGCGTTTATTATCCAAACACCTCTAAGTATTCAAATAGCGGCATTGTTACTTATAAACGCCACCCAAGACTTGATATTAGAGGTGTTTCTCGATTAAAAAGTCTTGAATATTTTTTATTAAAAGTTTTGGTGAATAGTTAAGGTGTATTTTTGGCAGACAACACCTTCAATAATCACGTCATAAAAAATTTTATGAGATTAATAAAAACGTTGTTTACAAGAAACGCATTTAATATTTAGACTAAAAATTTCCTCGGGCTTATTAAATTTTTTTATTTTTTACAAAAATTATTTCAATATTAAGGTTATCAAATTGTTTAGATCGTACGGGTGTTTACCATAAGGTTGTTGGTTTGATCCGTCCTTTAGCCTTTTTTAGGTTTAGGCACAGATTATTTGTTATTGATTATTCTAGGCATTTTCTTGGTAAAAACCCCTTCATCAATTGGTTTAAAATTTTTTTCATAGAATATTGATAGCATTTTTCATGGAGAGACGCCCTTAATAATCAATAGCAAAAATATGGACTCGATTCTTGAAGGCATTTCTGGCCGAACTTGCCTTCTATAATTCAATCGGTAAATTTTTTTTTTGGATTTTTAAAGACGGTTTTGTAAGAAACACCTTCAATATTCCATAGACAAAATTTGAATGGGATGGTTGAAGGTGTTTTTTGCTCCAAACACCTTTAATATTCCCAGCAATAAATTTTAATTGTCGAATTATTGAAGGCAGTTATATCCAAAAACGCATTTAATATTCCCAACGATAAATTTTAATTGTCAGATTATTGAAGGCGGCTATATAAAAAAACGCCTTCATAAACATGTTGTTGGGATTATTGAAGGCGTTACCTATAGGAAAATGCCATTCATAATCCATTCGATTAATTTTTAGTTCATATTATTGAAGGCGTTTTTTGCCCAAAATGCCTTTAATATTCCAGACAATAATTTTTTGGAAGGATTATTGAAGGCGATTTTGGTAAATAACGCCTTCAATGTTTTCTATTAATGATTGAAGGCGTTTTCTTGCTAAAAACACCTTCATTAATTGCATCAGAAAAGCATAATTGATATTTTATATGTGAAGTCAGTTGTAGGTTTATGCTCAGAAAAACATTTGCTATTAGTTGTATATTTATGCCCAAAAAATATTTGGTTCATATATCTGATACTATGAATTACATTTTGGAATTTGCATAATGAACATTGTTGTATTTCAAAAAATTGACCACACATCCGAAATTAAAACTGATAACGTTGCCATATTAATAAACTTTTCTGAAATAATCGTACTCAGTAATTTAATAAGTACACATAGTATATTCATATTAAGTATAACAATAATATTAAACTAATACCCCCAATGTACAAACTTAAAGTTTCCTTTCAACATAGCATGTTAAAAACATTATAACAATTTGTTCCATATATATTTACATTCAACCAACAATGTCTAACCTGAAGGTTTATCAACATTGATAAATGACAATACATAATCACACCATTCTTTACGGACTTCATCGAACTCATCTTCTATGAAGCTTTCTTTACCCTCCCACTAAAAAAAAATCATAAGTAAATGTTAAGAAATGAGAACATAATGTACCATTTTATTTTTTGAATATATAATGAGTTAATGAAATTTATACTAACCTTGAATGGTGTGGTCATAAAATCATGTAACACTATCTCCCACATAAAATGAAGGACATAATATCCACATTTAATATTACCGAGTTAACGAGGTACCTGAAAATTAAATTTAGTTAGTTTAGAAAATATTCATCTACACAAACTCAGCGTTAAAAGAATAAATTTGACATTTATCGGTAATGACACCCATTTCGATTTCTTTATCTTCTTATTGAATGCAAATATTACCCTAAATTGAAAAGAAAAAAAATTAGTGGGAACATAAATAAAATTTCTTATAAAGAAATAGAACATATATAATATAATAAAGTACTGTAATACCTCTTTATAAAAGTTTGAATATCGGGGTTAGGTATCACCATTGGATTAACTGAATTAAGAAAGTATGACGTGAAGGATTTGGTGTCAATCACAATAAGCACTCAATGACGACTACAAAATAATAATAATGGTATCCTCAGAATATGCATCAGATCATAGAATGGAGCATGTTGGAGTAAGTAAGGTTGGAATATAGCTTACTGCGCATTATACGGGAGCAAATAATAATCAATCGGTCTTTTCATGCATAGGATCACATGATTAGCATGATACATGACTATGCCACTTTGCTCACTAATGAAGTTAGGGTCAATGAATCTAAATTTGTTCATCAACTATCTCCCCTTCAGCTCTCTATAGAGGAAGCTACACGATAACAATTAACACTGCTAGTTAGTATTACACCTTAGTACTAACTTACTACATATTGAATGTGCATATTTGTATTTATAAGCTAACCTCATATAAGTAACGATTTCAGCAGCTGATAATTCATTCATTTCACAAAATTCTTTCACCTCATCCACACTAATGAAAGAAAATGATTGTTTATCAAATAAGTCTTCCTCAGACTTAATGAATATGAAGTTGTCGTCGGTACAATTCTTTAGCAAATACTTTGTTAACTCATCCATTGAAGCTTGGGCAAGGGTCAGACTTTGAGTCTGTACATCCTCCTACAATATTTAATGAAATATAAGTATTAAAACCAAATCAATAAATATAATAAACAAATTAATATTCAAATTATAAACAATATCATACTTTTTGGGTGGTAACGGATGATAGGATGGCTTCCTTACTTACAACGAAAGCTTTTTATACGGGGACGATGCTATCAGGCTAGGGTACTAGTATAACCTGCTGCATTGCTGCCAACATAGACTCCAAAGCAGCAAGTCTTTGCTGTTAGTCATTGAAGCGTTGCTCTTGATCATTAATTTGTTGTTGTTGTTGCTCAATTATTGCTTCATATTGTGCATTTCTCATTCATGGGATTTTTGGTTGTTTACCAAAATACGTTGATGGCAAGATAAATTTACCAACCCTATGAACCCGACCGGGCCTTTCTTTAGCGTCTAATGCTAAAGACAAATGATCTTCGCCATACTGGGTTGCTAATTCATCAGATTTTACTTTGGTAGTATAATCATCCTGAAAGATAATAATAAATGAGGTTGTTAAAATAAATCTACACAAGCTAGTATACACTTATGCATGCAATCACAATGCCAATCATACATTATATCAAAAAAATAATTATACATACAATTTTTTTTGCCATTTCTTCGGTTGCTTCATCTGCGAAGGATCCATCCTTCCATAGATGTCTTTGTTTCCAAACATCCCATCTAAAAACTTCTATGTTTGAGCTCACTGATTTTTATTAAATAATTATAAAAAAAATGAGAATGTATGAAATGAATGTTCATAAATATTCATTAATGAGTATAAAATAATTGTACGAATACATACAAGCTCATACTTCATAGTTGCATATCATTTTCTTACTGTCTGATGGTGATATTTCTATTTGGCCCGAATGTCTTGATGTTGTTCTTTGATTTTCTACAAAATCAAGAAATTACGTCAATCACATATGAAGATCAAAGGTTATATTACATAAAGACTTATAAACTTGGACTAATTTGGTAATGGGTTTGTGTATCAAAAAATCTTTTAAAAGTCGATGTTGAACAAGATTTATCCAATCTTCAACATTTATGACATCTACATCTGCCACAGGTGAAACAGCCCAAACATCACCTTCATCAGTCAGCGGTAAAATATATCTGGTTATCAATCTACTTTTAAAGTCTCTGAAAACTTTTCCAGCAGATTGTAACACAATCTTTTTACACTCAATTGGGATATCGAACCGTTCCTAAATAAGTTAACACAAATAGTATCAACACATTGAATTTCAATGAAATGATCATATAACAATTTTTACAAAATAGTTGAATAAACATACCACAATAGACTGCGATATCTCATCCTTTAGATTATCAGAAACTCGTCACCAATTGGTGTACGTAATTGAAATCCTTTGATTAATGATGGCTCTAATATGAGTAATCATCTTGGCAGCTTCTTTCGACACAGGCTGCCCACTTTGATTGAAGTCAACATAAATTTTTGTGTTAGTCACTTTGATTTGTTTATTTAGGCCCATTCCTTTTCTTTTTTTTCCTACACTTCTTTCTTCTGTATGTTCATTAAAAGGAGAATGATGTTGTTTGGAGTCCATATTACCTGTAATATTGATCATAATTATACGAATTACACAATATGACCCTCTAAATTGATTATTGTACTTGATTGAATACAACCAATATCATACTATATACAAAAATAGCATTTAGCACACCATTAAGCAATGTGCTCATACACACCCTTTAGCAAATCACTCAGAAACACCATTCAGTCCCCATTTAAACCCATTTAACAAAACAATATCAGACAACAAAGTTCAGCAAACCATTCAGCATGAAATATTATTCAGACATCGAATATCATACAATACCATTTGACAATACAATATTAGTCAACAAGGTTCAACAAACCATAATATTTAATGCGTACTACATAGAAACAACATACTTGCAATATGAATAAAATCTTGGACTACTATACTGATGATGATGTTAATTAAAATATATAAACACATATGTCAATATTAAAGAACTAAAAAAACAAAAAT